AAAAGAATCAATCATCCGGATTTTTTCTAAATAAAACACTTCATTGTTTTATGTGAAAGAAATGACTTTTATGGAAAACAAAAGTCATATCAGAATCGTGTGTTTCGTATCGACAATGTAGGAAAATTGCTACTGAATCCGTGAATTTTCACATAAATTAGACGTCAGTATAAATTAATTACGCCCCACTTCAACGTTTGTACGAAAACGCAGCCAACCAAATTTTTAACTTGCAAAAAAATAAGCTCAAAGGTAAAACATACACGATTAAAGAAAAACGAAATCATGTTCAACGAAACAGACGTCCGCAGGACTGAAGCTGTCATTCAAATCTGGCTCCATGTTTAATCCTTTATTTTAATTTTCTTTGTAAAAATCGTTGACATAAATTATCCACCTTTGTGCTTCTTTTTGTACTTTTCTGTTTCTGATGCGATCAGCTACACACAAACGGGTTCACCTTGAAAATTAAATATAATTAAAATTTAATAAGAACCGCAGAGAGAAAACCGACCAAATTGATAAATACTCGGCATGAGTTGATAATAATTGTCAATCAGTAGGACACCCCATCGAAAGAAATACTGCCAAAGTAAATTTATTTATCTCATTTATAACACAATTTGATGAGTTTTCTTTTTCCCTCTTCCTCGATTATAGCCCGGAGGAGCTTATTAAAGTCGTGATCATTTTATACGATCAAGTTATTATCATTATTGATTGTAGATGGCACTAATAACAGTAGCCATTTTGGAATAATTCGGAGATCATCTTCCAGCAATTTTTCTACACCTACTCATATGTGCAGGTCAAGACACTTGTATTTAGGTCAGATCTTTCTAAAATAAATTGCATAGTTAGAGCAGGCGTCTGCGCAACGTATTGATCTGATTTCACTCATCATAGTACAATTGATCTTCATTTTACTTTCATTCACTCTTTATATTTATTATATGTTTTTTCGCCGTAATGTGAACATCTACCTGCCAGTCTAAACGAAAAGATCTGGTAGGTTTCTCACAGCCGTGCGACCACATAATTCCTCAAAGAAATAAAATTATTGATTTTCAAGAAAGTATTCCGCTTGTTGTAATGACACAAAACTAGACCATTAGACACAGCGAGAACAAAACTCTACAAATGTATTCACAACACTGTTAAAATTAACAAAGAAAACAATTAACGTTCACACTATACAAAAAAAAAAAAAAAAAAATTGTGTCATTCTTGTCAAAACTTCAAACACAAATGTGATAATCAAGCAATATTTTAAACTAAAATGTGTCAAAACATTATGCATGCTTATTACTGATAATGTTAGTGTTAAACGGCGAGAGTTGTTATTACATAATCTGATAAACTTTATCACGAGTTCTAACCGTAGCGTGGTTAGAACCCATTTTTGTTCTAACTACATGAAATTTTTACCGCTGTAATTTAGAGTAACATGAATAAATGGGACAATTTCCTAATTACTATCATTTTTAATTAGAATTTAAAGCTATAGAATGATCAGACTCAGTTAATTCCTAGACCATTTTTCGTGGTTCGATCGTTTTAATTAGACCGCACTTAAATCAATACATGCAAACAAATTATCAAAACAACTAGCGTGTTCCACGTCGTTTTCTAAAAATCGTTTTGTTTCATCAGCTGATTTTTTGTTTCCATTAATTTAAATTAGTTATTTCGAGATTAAATTTTTCTCCGATTTTTCCACGAATAGTGTTAGCACCAAGCAGACTAGGTCAGAGTAATACATGTTGTTCTTGTCGTACTATAGCTCCAGAGCGTTTCACACAAATGAAATTTTTAAGTCTATATATACATATTGTTAATAACAAAGTAAATAGAAAAACACCAACAAGCTTTAATAAATTTTAGTATTAATATAAATGTAAACGTGTTTTCGGCAGAATTTTAAACTACAGAAGCAATTTAGAAACAAATGCGTTTTAACAAAACGTGACGTTTATTTGCATTTCAAAGCTCCGTCAAAGTTATTAAAACTATGTGAAATATTAATTACATCAATGAATTTTAATTTATGGTTTATTTGTAGTGTAATTATCATTTTCTTAAAATGTAAATTTCATGACTTGCAAATAAGCCCTAAATGTCAAAGCACGTCGTTGAATAATTTAAAATCTCCAGAGAATTTTTGGTTCATTAATTTCTACAAAAATCGGACCAACATTTAAATTATCTCAGACAGGAATACGTCAAATGTATTTATTTTCGATGATAACAGTGTTAACAGTAACTTATTATGTATAGGAAATCATGTTTGCCGCTTTAGCGAAACATAAATTATAATCAAATTTCCAAAACCCATCGTAAATTCAAGATGTGTAGTAACTGTGACTGTAAAAACAAGCGGCAAATTGGAAAACTGTCAATTTCTAAAGACATAAGGGGAGGCTGTCATGTCTAAAAATTAATTTACATATTTATCTTTGTGCGTGTAATAACAACTTTAACCTAACGATATTGACTATGAACGTCCAATTTCACAAACAGAAATTCAACATTTGATCCCATTTTACATCATCTAGATTTACAATAGACTGTGTATGTTATACGATTATGGAACTCTTGGGACATATATTTCTAGAAAAATTACATAAATTGTACGGCAACCTGTTTGATTTGCAGCCTCAGTCTTAAACCGGATTCACACGATGCGAGAAAAAATCCATAAACACAGAAGAGAGCTTTCAAAAACCAGAAAACTGAGTTCTCCTTGAACGTGTAAGTGTCAAATCCGAACCGAGTTTCCTATAAATGTTAGACGAAATAAAATTTTATTTCATTTAAAGTTAATCAACGACAAGAAAAATGATATAAACGTAATTTCAGTTGTAACGACAGTTCAAATGAATCGCCATTATGTTTCGAGAAAGTTGCCAACAACAAAGTCGACTAACTCATGAATTCCCATAACGCGATTTACTTAAGGGAAAAGTGGAAGTTTATAAAATCTCTTTTTTAAATTTTCACATTTTGAGCAGTTAATGTTATTAGATTCGTACAATTGCGTTTCGTTCCTAAGTAAATTTGCATTTACTTAATTATTTAATAAATGTCACAAAACTCCGTTTGGGCCTTTGGGGAAACATCACCCGGTTAGGGTGGGATTACGGCCCCGGATCGGATTACAGGTGAAATTATTTTCAACAATTTTTACTAATAGCAGATTTTTAAACATCGATTACCTACAAAGGATGAATAAATGCAATTTTTAAATTTCGATAACAAGCCGACAGCAGACGTCCCGACGGAAACGGAAAACTCTGATTTGAGCACTCTACAATCTGCGAAACGCCAAGGAAGCATGATATTCGTCAAAATAATCCTATTATGTACAATACATCCTCATCTGTAGCTCGAGAAATATAAATTCTAAGATAAAGCCTTAATGGGTCATTAAATATTTAATAAGACTTTAACATCTATTAGTCTTACAAGCTTCATAAATTACTTTCTGGATTGCAGCATAATACTAGATTCTGTGTAACTAGGCATTTAAAATTCCATTCTACTTTTTTAACGAATCGTTAATAACTAGAAAATAATCTAATTTTTCACATTCAACATTAACTTTCGTGTTGCAATTTTAAAATTACAATTTGGAATAAACTCAATGTTTTGGTGACGTCATTAATTTTTAAGCCACTACGTCATACGTATTTGTTTAAGTCTGATGACACTTGCTTATGCAAACGTTTATAACAATTTTAGCGAATATTGACGCCGTCACATACTTAATTTTTATTTTAATGTTGTAAAAATTGTAAAAATACAAAAACAAGCTCTTATAACAAAGTCTAACCTTGTCCAAGCACAAGAAATCAGTTGAGTTTCATTTAAACTTTCACCGTGTACAGATATCTCACACTCAGGACATAAAGCACCTCGCGCGATAAAATCTTTATGCGTAAACATAAAACACACAGGTAAAAACAGCCCTATAGAACGTGTTAGAAGCTTCATTTTTGACTGCATCTATCTATCCATCGCTGTAATTCGGCCTGTTCACATTTTATTAAAGTGGAACGAAAGCCTGTTCTTTTCTAATTTTGCAACTTAAAATTTGTCGTATTCGCATTTTTTTGAGGGTGAAGTTGGAATTTTTAATAGCTGCGCCATCTAGTGGTAGTCTTTGTGTTTTCATCCGGCTTTATGATTTTATAATTCGTTTATGCGTTTTATACTTTAAATTGTATTTTCTCTTTATTGTTCACATCAGTGCCTCCTGTGCGTTTCGTGAAGGAATAAATTAGATTCCTTTCCGGATTCCTTAGTTCACACACCTAATGAGATATGCAACCAACATTACTATTGCACGACCTTGGTATAAGCATGCGCAGTAGACCGTTTCACGCGCATGCGCCATTTTGCCTTTTATCATTTTCAAATAGTTCAAAAGTCGGCAAAAGCGTGGTCGGTAACCGAACTGCAAGTACAACTGTTCCAACTGTTCGTTCTCTTGAAAAAAACTCGAACCTTACAAGCCAAAGACTTCGCCCGTGTCCCAAATCAAGCTGTGATACATTCAAAAGCAAGTTCAGCACCCAAGGTAACGTCGTGCAAGAAAGTTTGAGCTGAAGATGTCTTCAATAAAAATCCAAGTCGGTTTTGCCGAGGACAATGGTCCTAAAAAAGGGGGAAGCCATAATAGGCATACCCATACGGACATATTTGGAATCGGCGATGCAGCCCAGCCTACGCCAAAAAAGAACCAGCCCACTTCGAACATAAAAAACATCTTGATGGAGGAGACCGATGGTGCGAAGGAAGCCAAGGAGAATAACCAGGCGCAGATGGAAAATAAGACTGATCACGTAAATGGGAATGTCCCGGCGATGGTGGCAACACCCCAGCGCGTTCGCATGCCACCAGGTGGGTTTTCGTCTGGATTGTGGTAATTTGATGATTTTGTAACCTTTTCTGATGTAAACGTATTTATTGTAAGTCTTGTGTATTTGCCAAATAAAAAGTTTTCTGCTTAATAATGTTTATTGATTTCAAATTCAATGGAGTCAAATTACAATGTTTCAATGGTCTACACTGAGTACAGTTAAGTTTTTAACTTACTTCAGTAAGTTGCACAATGAGAAACTAAAAATGGGATGAGATGATACTAAATAGTTGAAAGCAAAGTCAACAAATTAAAAATCCTAGTAAGTAGAGAAGTCTATTTTGAAGTCTCCTGGAATAATGAAATCAATTTGTTGCGGTTTGAAAGAAAGTTTTTTCTTAAGTTGATTTCAAATTCGGTAGAGTCAAATTACAATGTCAAATGGTCTACAATGAATACAGTTAATTTTTTTAAGTTACGTACGTACGTACGCCGCACGATAAGAACTAAGATTGTATAAATTTTACACTAAATTATACATATAAAAAAAGAACGTTGAAAAAATAAAATTACTAAAAATTATGTAAGTCTCCTGGAATACTGAAATCAATCTACAACAAAGAAACAACCAGCAGATCAGAATTGTATCGCGTCTAAAGAATAGCAACAGCACTTTTCACGATTATTTAAAAAAATACTTTGACAATTAAAATAATCACTAAGTTATGAAAGAAATTTATAAATCAATTCTGAACTACTGTATTCCCAAAGTCGTTTTCTGCCCTCGAAAACGAAATGGGATAGCACTGATTTATAAACAGTGCAAGCAATAACCAGAATTACACAGATACATGAAATCATTTCATATAACATCATATGTTAATGAAATCACATAAAACAAAACAATAATTCTTAGTTATTAATATGCATACTTGACATGGCCACATGGAACTCTCCTAAGTACATGTCTGTATCAATGAAAACACAATAAATATGAGATTTATATTTTTATAATTTGGTACTTCAACAGTCTAATCTTAAAAATTTTTCATTGATGCAGTCTATGCTAGAGTTCAGTTAACGTTTACTTCTTGACTCCATTTTGGATTCCAACCTTGGAAGACCCTTGAGAGGCGGTACTGCAACAACAATCGCCACATTAAAACGTGCCCAACACCGCCGCCTACGCTACGTGAAATCGATTACACCTCCGTGGCCGCAGTCAAATTAAATCAAATTCGCACGCGAGCAGAAAACGCAAAAAATGCAAGTGACCCCATTAAAATATTACATTAACACCAGAATGGTAAACAACCGAAACATCAAACACACACATTAGCTGATTGGACGGATCGTGGTGCCGTTGACCGCCGCGATGACCACGCCAAGGTCACTTCCGACTCACACTGATAAACTCCCGACTTATCTCGTGTAATTTGGCCTTTTGCTTGTTTTTGTCTTTCGATGCAATTACAAGTGAATACACAAGATCTATTATTAGCATACAAAAGTACCATTTGGTTAGTCTGTAAAAGTTTTAGTTACGTGACGACTACAATTATTCATTGTATTATTAAATACGTGATCCTCCCTGCTTTCTGCTCTCACTACAAACAAAGACGGATTAGTCATCGCGTGTGCGTGTTTCATTGCCCATTCCCCTCGTCTGGACGGTTTCTATATACTCAACTGATTACGGCTTTTCGAAAATAAACACTGCTTCTAATAATCCTCAAAAGCCACATTTTTTAGGATTAGACCGATTAAATATGTGAATAAATTTTCTCAAACTCCTAATAAATGTAGATGTGATTCTGAGGACCAGATACATAATCCAAAGGCTTAATAACCATTAAAACAATAATTAGAAACATTCTTCGGATGTTTAAAATTTGTTACTCAACACAAGTTCTTGCTACCAAAAATCAAAATTAAACACGTACTTTTGCATCAAAATGACACGCAAAACTTTTAATACTGGATGGCCGTGAATAGTACCTGACTGTGCGTTAAAGGAAATGTTAGAAGTTGGCGGCTCCATTTTAATTAATTTTCCAAGACTCGTTTCCTTTTTGTGTGTATTTAAAAAAACTAATTGTTAAAACTGTTAGTTGATGTGAATCATTCCTCATTATAAAATGTAAAAACGTAAAATTTATGAACCACTGGTTATTGAGGCACTAGAAAAGTCCCTGGGACGTTAATGACATATTAATGGACATTTGTGGTTCTGGCCATCTACGTTTTTTATGTTTATGGTAACGACAAAAACCACGCAGACATCACATTATTGAAACTCGTTTGGTTTTCCTGTGGTAAATCGTTCGTTCTCCTTAGAAAACAATACTGCAAAGATTGATTTTAATATTTACGTATTCCAACCAATTTTTTTCCTTTTAATTATTGTTAAAACTATCGGTAAATTTTTTGATTGTTGGCACCACTTCGTGTCAATCAATTTGTCGAATTTGTTTTTAAATAATGGACAAAAGGCATTTTAGTGCAATACAAACCCCTTTTTATGTTAAAAAACTAATTTTATCGATGGAAATGTTACGAAGATAACCTCAAAACTCGTTTGATTTGACAACAAATCGTTTTTCTAATCACAAAATAATACCGAGAACTTGATAAAATATTCAAGTCTTATCAATATTCACTTCCAGAACATTTTATCTATTGAGAGTATCAACACCAGTGTTTCTGGCTGCAGTAGAAAACAAAAAATTAAAATCTCTTCAAATAAAGAGAAAATGTGCAGATGGTGTAAAAAAGCAACGTCAGCAAGGCGAGACGCGTAAAATCGTGGGATCTCAACAACATTGCAATGTCTACAGATGGAAACTCATTACAGTAAAAGCTTCCAGATATTGAGTTTACTAAGAAGCTCAGCGTTTTGTCGACGTTCTAAACCGCAAAGTTATCTTTTGTTTTCATGTAAATATTCACAAACCATTTGTAGTAAATTATTAATTATTCTAGCAAATACTTAATAGAAGCAGAATAAGCGAGTGTTTTGCCATGTCTGAGTGCCTGCTTTAATACTGGCCGAAAGTGTTTTTTAAGTTATTTCGGCGTTTGAATTAGAATTTCAATTAAATTTAATTTTAAAATCGTCAATTATAACTTTATTAAATATGTACACCTGAATTATTCATTTATAATCAACTGTAAATGGATGCATTAGCATACTGTCTATAACAATCCAACTATTCGTTGTTTTTTAGATTGTTATCAAGTTGGTTCTGGAAAATCTGTCACCGCATTGTTAATACGAATTTGCAACAATTTATTGCAATTTAAAAACAATAATTATACGAATCGAATATTTTGCATTAGATGCTCACTTAAAATGTTAGGGTTTATTAGTGACATTATCACAGGAGACGACTAATCATGATCACAACGAAGCGGCAAAATTAACGAAGTTTCAAAGCCTACTTGTACAATCTTTTATTTTTTAGATTAACCTGAAATAAACAATATCCACAAAACATGATCACGAAAAAAGAAGTCATTTAGTTTATGTATTAAAGGACCAGTATCGTCGAAATTATTCATCTTTTGTAGTACAACAGAACTACTTCAGTTGATTTTCTAGAGTTTGCTCAAAGATTGATTTTGTTACCTTCGCTGTTCATATTCTATGTTAATGATATTGATTTAAGCTTATCCACCAGTAATCTGACCTGTATCAGTTTGCGGATAACACATCTTACTAGTTTGACCTAAAATTCTACTTAAACCGTTATTATATACTTATATACTAAATGTTCAAGTGCGTACTAGTTCATATGAGCATTCTTTTCTGCGCACTTTGGATTGTCGGCTATCAAATACAAACCTTGTTCAAATAAAGTTAAACACCGATAGCAAAACTACGTCTGACTTCGGTCGGTACGACATCCGTTACTTACAACAACGGGTTTTGTCAAGTACGTACATTTCGTTACCGCCTTCTTTGTTGGGGCCAACTATGTCCAAACCCAGCTCTGACAAAACTTTGAGTGCTTCTAAAGCAGCCTTTTCATGAGAAGCCTCAGTTGTAGGACCTTCGCCATGACAAACCTGTGGAGGATTGGTGCTTAGAGACACCAGAGTTAAATACATCTCATGATTAGCCTTAGGAAAATCAGAGAACTGAACTTGGATGTTCATCAGTTGTGCTAAGTACAACAACTGGTCTTTGGAACGAACACCTTGGATCGGCTGAGGAGGAGTTTTCAACTGAGTCTGACCCGTTTTCTTGTTATCTGCGCACGAATTGGAGTTGTTATTCATGATGCTTTCCTTTGGTTTGTTCTGAAACGACACTGTTATGAGTGGTTCGGGTGATGGAGCGCAGCGAGCGTACCTGCTGGAAGTTGGTGGACTGGTCCCCTACGAGCAATATACCGGGGACTAATTGCCTACCACCACTTCCACCAACCGAAGGAGTTGGCTCGGTTTTTTCTTCGACGAATGTCACCTTCCGAGTTTTGTCGACGATTTCGGACTCCTTCTCGGTTTTCAGGACCGGCTTCGGATTCGAAGGTGGGTTGCCGTAGCCAAGCGAGTTTAAGAGAGCCTCGGCGGCGTTGCGTTTGGCAATTTTTTTGTTAGGACCTACTCCGGTGCAAGAATGGCCGTTCACGGAGGCCTCTATAACGAACTCTCGGCGGCGGGGGGCACCACGTTCCTCCAAAACCTGCAAAAAAAAAAAAACACTAAATCAAACTGTCCATTCATTTTTGAGTGTAAAAGTTACAGCTTTCGTTCTTGCTCTGTCTGACACATTGGTCTTTCTCTATTTAAGGAATATTAAAGAACTTATTACTCTTTGGAAAAGCAATAGTATACGCATCAAGTAATCTTACTTACTTCTAAGTCATTGTTACATTGTGAGCGTTTCGTAACTTATAGAACATGAAAAAGTAAGTCCCCCATTTCTTCTGACTGAAACGACTCAATAAGTAAATTAAGTTACTTTGTCAATTGACAGTGTCAGGATTTTCAATCGATTCTATGTTTAACACACAAAAAAAAAGGGGACAAAAATAGAAGAAAATGGTACTTTTTCTATGATATTACTCTGTGACTTTTTTGGTTGATTGAACTGAATATGAAAAAAGTTGCAGTTTGATGTATAATACATCTATATTAATACCTTTTTATCATAGAAAAATGAAAACATTGTTATACGTCTTCTAACGAATCCTGTCACTGATTTGTTTGAAAGTGTTTAATTCGTTTAACTCCGAACACAAATTATTCTTCAGTTGGAACATATTTTTTTTTAAATAAAAACTTAAAACATGTTTAAAATCGTATATTTTTGTAGTATTTTATAAAAAATGGCCAACAAGAGATACGCTATCACCAACAAAAACTCAAGCTGTAGAAGATAACAAAAACGAACTAGGGAAAACAAAACAATTCAAAATAATCGCAAAAATAAACTTCACAGAATTATGCTATTCAAAATATTTTAAAAGAGGAATAAACACAAATCGACTTCTCTCGCACTCGCTCACTCGATTTTCTAATCCGATTAGGGTCGTCTTTGTTGCTAATTTTTATGATCTTCCTTGTCCGATGTTTGTTTGCATCTACTTTAATCATCTATTTGTATTGAGTAAAAAAAGGAAGCCAAAGATTAAGCCCCACATAACCCCGCCCCGATCTTCATTGTGACGGATTTTTCATTCGTTGGCAGACCGAGGGGCGGGGCATAATTGCAAAATTGATATTTCCTTGCAAAAATTTACCATTTTGAACAAGTTGTAAGTTTCTTGTGAAAAGAAGACTACGTATATCAAGAAAAACGGCAAAATTAAGCCCCGTCCACCCACCCTACCTAAATCGTGATGATTGTGTCTATTCGTTGAGAGCAAAGAGGGCGGAGATTAATTGCAAAATCATTATTTTTATACAAGAAATTGCCATGTGAAACATGTTCTTGAGTAATCGTGTTATTCACAGCAAACTATGTCTTAAATACAATTGAAAGCCAAAAATAACCCCTATTCGTTTCGATCTCAATCTGGGTTTAATTTTTACTTAATATACATAGTATTCTCTGAACAACACGATACAATATTACATGGTAATTTCTTCTAGAGAAGTAAGAATTTTGCAATTAAACTCCGCCCTCTTGGCTCACGACGAATAAAGAAAATCACCCGAATTGAGATAGGGCGGGTGGGCGGGGCGTATACTTTGTTTTTTTTTTCTTAATATACGTAGTCATCTTTTTAAAACAAAAACTTGAAACATGGTTAAAATGGTAAATTTTTGTAGGGTAGTATGGATTTTGCAGTTATGTTTCGCCCCTCGATCTGGCAACGATTGAAAAATTCATCACGAGCCCCACCCATACCTGCCACGATATCAATAGTGATGAAGTTTTCATTCGCACAAAAATTTACCATTTTAAACATGTTTCAAGTTTCTTGTTCTCAAAAGACGACTACATATATTTAGAAAAAAGGCAAAATATAAGCCCCGCCCACCCACCCGATCTCAATCGTGTTGATTTTTTTACTCGTCGTAAGCCGTGGGGCGGAGTTTAAATGTAAAATCCTTATTTTTCTACAAGAAATTGCTATGGAAAATTGTTCTTGAGTAATCGTGTTGTTCAAAGCAAACTATATGTATTAAGTACAAAAGAAAGCCAAAAATAAGCTCCACCTATTCGTCTTGATCTCAATCTAGGTTTCATTTTTACTTAATATACATATTATTCTCTGAACAATACGATGCTAAAAAATATGTCTTACATGGTAAAAGAAATAAGGATTTTAAGGAATGAAGATCTAAAAATTCGCCAGAACTGAGATCTTATATTTTCCATTTTTTTTTCTTAATAGCCATCTTTTCACAACAAGAAACTTAAAATATGGTTAAAATGGTACATTTCTGCAAGGAAATATGGATTTTGCAATTATGGGGCGGAGTCTAATTGCAAAATCGATATTTCCTGATACAAAATTTCCATTTTAAGCATGTTTTCAGTTTCTTGTTGTGAAAAGAAGTCTACACATACTATAACAAAAAAAAAAAAAAAAAGGAAGCCCGCCCACCCGCCCTTTCTCAATTGTGATGATTTTTTTTATTCGCCAAGAACCAAGAGGGCGGAGCTTAACTGCAAATACTTATTTCTTTACAAGAAATTAAAAACATGTTTTTGAGTATCGTGTTGTTCAAAGAATACTATGTATATAAAGAGGCAAAATATAAAACCCGCCCACCCACCCCATATCTATTGTGATGATTTTTTAATTCTTAAAAACTTAAAACAGGTTTAAAATTAATTGCCAACGAATAAAAACTTTATTACTATTTAGGGCAGGGCAGGTATGGGTAGGGCTTAATCTTTGGCTTCAATTTTTTCTTAACATACGTAATATTTTTTGGATAAAACGATACTCAAAAACATGTCTTATACGGTAATTTGTTTTGCAATGAAATTCCGCTCCTTTGGCTCTCGACGATTAAAAAAAATCATCACAATTGAGATAGGGCGGGTGGGCGGGGCTTATATTTTGCCTTTTTTCTTAACATACGTAGTCGTATTTTCAAAACAAGAACCTCACTTAGTTTAAATTCTTGCAGACCAATATGAATCTTGCAGTTACGCCCCACCCCTCGATTTGATAACAAACGAAAAATTTATCACAATTGAGAATTGAGATCGGGGCGGGTCTTCTTGTGCCATGGGTAGGGTCCACTCTTTGGCTTTATTGTTTTCTTAATATACATAGTATTCTTTGAACAACACGATTCTCAAAAACATGTTTTTAGTTTCTCGTAGAGAAATAAGGATCTTGCAGTTAAACTCCGCCTCCTTGGCTCACAACGAATAAAAAAAATCATCACAATTGAGATAGGGCGGGTGGGCGGGGTTTCATATTTTGCCTTTTTTTTAATATACGTTGTCATTTTTTCACAACAAAAACTTGAAGTGGTAAATTTTTGTACGGTGGTATAGATTACGTTGCACCCCTCGGTCTGGCAACAAATGAAAAATTCATCACGAGATTAAGCCCCACCCATACATGTCCCAACCTCAATAATGATGAAGTTTTCATTCGTTGTCAGACCGAGGAGCGGAGCCTAATTGCAAAATCCATATTTCCCTACAAAAATTTACCATTTCAAACATGTTTTAAGTTTCTTGCTGTGAAAAGATTACTACGTATACTAATAAACAAAAAGCAAAACATAAGCCCCGCCCACCCACCCGATCTCAATCGTGATGATTTTTTTACGCGTCGTAAGCCGTGGGGCGGAGCTTAATTTCAAAATCCGTATTTTTCTACGAGAAATTGCTATGCAAAAAATGTTCTTGAGTAATCGTGTTGTTCAAAGCAAACTATATGTATTAAGCACAAAAGAAAGCCATAAATAACCTCAACCCATTCGTTTCGATGTCAATCTGAGTTTCATTTTTACTTAATATACATAGTATTCTCTGAACAACACGATACAAACATGTCTTACATGCTAGTTCTTTGTAGAAAAGCAAGAATTTTGCAATTAATCTCCGCCCTCTTGGCTCACGACGAATAAAAAAAATCATCACAATTGAGACAGGGCGGGTGCGCCGGGGCCTATATTTTGCCTTTTTTTTCTTTAATATACGTAGTCATCTTTTCTCAACAAAAACTTGAAATATGTTTAATATGTTTCAAGTTTTGGTGCGAAAATGTAGATTTTTGTACGGAAATTTGGGTTTTGCAGTTAGTTTCGCTCATCGGTCTGGCAACAAATGAAAAATTCTTCACGAGATCAAGCTCCACCCATACCCGCCCCGACCTCAATAGTGACGAAGTTTTCATTCGTTGTCAGACCGAGGAGTGGAGCGTAATTGCAAAATCCATATTTCCCTACAAAAATTTACCATTTCAAACATGTTTTAAGTTTCTTGCTGTGAAAAGATTACTACGTATATTAAGAACAAAAAGGCACAACATAAGCCCCGCCCACCCACCCGACCTCAATCGTGATGATTTTTTTACTCGTCGTAAGTCGTGGGGCGGAGCTTAATTTCAAAATCCTTATTTTTCTACGAGAAATTGCTATGCAAAAAATGTTCTTTAGTAATCGTGTTGTTCAAAGCAAACTATATGTATTAAGCACAAAAGAAAGCCAAAAATAACCTCCACCCATTCGTTTCGATGTCAATCTGGGTTTCATTTTTACTTAATATACATAGTATCTCTGAACAACACGATACAAACATGTCTTACTTGATAGTCCCTTGTAGAGAAGCAAAAATTTTGCAATTAAGCTCCGCCCTCTTGGCTCACAACGAATAAAAAAAATCATCACAATTGAGATAGGGCGGGTGGGCGGGGCTTACATTTTGCCTTTTTTTCTTAATATACGTAGTCACCTTTTTCCAACAAAAACTTAAAATATGTTCAATATGTTTCAAGTTTTTGTTGAGAAAATGTAGGTTTTTGCAGGGAAATATTGGTTTTGCAGTTACGTTTCGCCCATCGGTCTGGCAACAAATGAAAAATTCTTCACGAGATTAAGCTCCACCCATACCCGCCCCAACCTCAATAGTGATGAAGTTTTCATTCGTTGTCAGACCGAGGAGTGGAGCGTAATTTCAAAATCCATATTTCCCTACAAAAATGTACCAATTCAAACATGTTTTAAGTTTCTTGCTGTGTAAAGATGACTACGTATACTAATAAACAAAAAGCAAAACATAAGCCCCGCCCGCCCACCCGATCTCAATCGTGATGATTTTTTTACGCGTCGTAAGCCGTGGGGCGGAGCTTAATTTCAAAATCCGTATTTTTCTACGAGAAATTGCTATGCAAAAAATGTTCTTGAGTAATCGTGTTGTTCAAAGCAAACTATATGTATTAAGCACAAAAGAAAGCCATAAACAACCTCCACCCATTCGTTTCGATGTCAATCTGGGTTTCATTTTTACTTAATATACATAGTATTCTCTGAACAACACGTTACAAACATGTCTTACATGCTAGTCCCTTGTAGAAAAGCAAGAATTTTGCAATTAATCTCCGCCCTCTTGGCTCACGACGGATAAAAAAAATCATCACAACTGAGAGAGGGCGGGTGGGCGGGGCTTACATTTTGCCTTTTTTTCTTAATATACGTAGTCATCTTTTTTCAACAAAAACTTGAAATATGTTGAGAAAATGTAGATTTTTGTAGGGAAATTTGGGTTTTGCAGTTACGTTTCGCCCATCGGTCTGGCAACAAATGAAAAATTCTTCACGAGATTAAGCTCCACCCATACCCGCCCCAACATCAATAGTGATGAAGTTTTCATTCGTTGTCAGACCGAGGAGCGGAGCGTAATTGCAAAATCCATATTTCCCTACAAAAATTTACCATTTCAAACATGTTTTAAGTTTCTTGCTGTGTAAAGATGACTACGTATACTAATAAACAAAAAGCAAAACATAAGCCCCGCCCGCCCACCCGATCTCAATCGTAATGATCTTTTTACTCGTCGTAAGCCGTGGGGCGGAGCTTAATTTCAAAATCCGTATTTTTCTACGAGAAATTGCTATGTAAAACATGTTCTTGAGTAATCGTGTTGTTCAAAGCAAACTATATGTATTAAGCACAAAAGAAAACCATAAATAACCTCCACCCATTTGTCTGGATATCAATCTGGGTTTAATTTTTACTTAATAGACATAGTATTCTCTGAACAACACGTTACAAACATGTCTTACATGCTAGTCCCTTGTAGAGAAGCAAGAATTTTGCAATTAAGCTCCGCCCTCTTGGCTCACGACGAATAAAAATAATCATCACAACTGAGAGAGGGTGGGTGGGCGGGGCTTATATTTTGCCTTGTTTTTCTTAATATACGTACTCATCTTTTTTGTAGGGAAATTTGAGTTTTGCAGTTATGTTTCGCCCATCGGTCTGGCAACAAATGAAAAATTCTTCACGAGATTAAGCCCCACCCATACCCACCTCGACCTCAATAGTGATGAAGTTTTCATTCGTTGTCAGACCGAGGAGCGGAGCGTAACTGCAAAATCCATATTTCCCTACAAAAATTTACCATTTTAAACATGTTTTCAGTTTCTTGTTGTGAAAAGATGACTATGTATACTAATAAACAAAAATGAAAACATAAGCCCCGCCCACCCACCCGATCTCAATCGTGATGATTTTTTTACTCGTCGTAAGCCGTGGGGCGGAGCTTAATTTCAAAATCCTAGTATTCTCTGAACAACACAATACCCAAAAACCTGTATTACATGGTAATTTATTGTGAAGAAGAGTTTGGCAGTTAAACTCCACCCTCTTAGCGCATGACGAATAAAAAATCATTACAACTGAGACAGGGTGGGTGGGCGGGGCTTATAATTTGCCTTGTTTTTCTTAATATACGTAGTCATCTTTTCACAACAAAAACGTGAAACATGTTAAAATGATAAATTTTTGGAGTGTAACATGGATTTTGCAGTTACGCTTCGCCCATCCATACTTGCGCCGACTTCAATAGTGAGGTGAAAATTCAATTGTTTACAGCTTTTTTACAGTGTAGTCGTCTGAAAATTACATTTAACAACAAAATAATGTTAGGTTAGAAAACGTTTTCTCATTGTCGTGCAAATCTGCTTAACACGGATTGTTGAAATAAAAGCAAATGACAAATGTTTTGTGTTGACAAGTTACTATTGAAATAATTAAAATCATAATGATTTTTAGAAGACTTCACGACAATTCCCTCAGGTAAATTTTTGTTGACATTTTCTTGACATTACCATGAATACTTCGTGTTGTTCTGAAGAAACCATTCTTGGTAAAAATGTGAACAGCAAAACTCTCACACTAATTCTGAAAAGAACTGATTTTTATCACACAAAATAAACGTGACACCATGTATCACAGTACATCATCAGAAAAGTTGAAATTTTACACCTTTATTGTGAGTACATATGTTAAAATCATAAATGGGTCAATATCAGAACAAGACCACATGGAGTGGCACGAGGATCCATTTTAGGACCCTTGTCGTTCTTGATTTACAGCAATGACATGGAAGTATTTAAAGCAAATTTACATCATTTTGTATGCAGATGATACTTACTACATTTATGTCTTCAAGTTCAAATTTAGTCCCTCTTGTAAATAATACGTACATTAGAGCGAACAAATAGTGATCCAAATGTATTTGAACACTATGTGTAAAAAGAGAAAAACCAACTGCCAGACACAACGTAGCCATTAAAACGGCAACTATATCCACTCGTTGCTACGCAAATACTCACAGTATACACCGGTTCCCTCTCCTTGTTGGCCTGCTGTATTTGTATTAGGCGCGAAATAGGATTAATTTCTTCTTGAAACTCGTTTGACTTATCCATATTGACTTTAATCAAGTTCCGCGTTTTCTTCTTATTGGTGACTCTTTTCCGCTTAAGATGGACCATATTGTGCATATTAGGTAACGGTGGCAATTTCGCCAGTTCCTCCAGCATTTTTTCTGCAGCTCGCTTCTTCGAGATCTTCTTCCCGTTGCCTTCGCCCTCCGCCACGAAGTTCCCCACCCGGCACTGCGTCACGAAGACCTTCATATGGGGCGGACCCTTTTCGCTCAGCACCTCGAACGTTACGCTAAGATTTCGCTTCAGAGCTATTTCGTGGACAAGTGAGATCGGTGATTTAAGCTCTGTGTTGATATCGGTCGGCGTAGTTTCGGCTGCTGCTGCAGTAGATAGGAAAAAATAAGAACATTCTCGAACGAGGAGGAAATATTTACCTGGTTGCTCTGTGGGTTCGCCCATCGCTTTGATGTCCTCGATGGCTTTGGCGGCGGCGTCGTGTCTGGCGGCCTGGACCGTGTACCCCACTCCGGGGTATTCCCTGTCGCCGACACGTAACCTTACAGTGTAAGGGTCGCCGGGGTTGTGGGGACCCGTGGGTCTATATTGGCCGTAGTAGCGGTTCTCGTGGTACGGATAATGAGGTCGCATGTTTCGACGGGCATCGTAACCGTATCTGGGTTGGTTTTGAGCACCGTACATATTTTGGCGAGGGTAGTAGCCGGCTTGACTGATATAACCCTGGTAAGAAAACTGAAAGTTACCTATGATAGGTGTTAAAACTGAATTCACAAATTGTTTTCTTATCCTTAACGCGATTTTTGAAAAAGCAAGTCAATCGAGATGGTCATGAATTGGATGTTAAATACTCTATGTTCACTACTAATCCGTCTGAGAATGCAGTGGTCAGATAATAATTGCTTCCATTTCGTAACTGATAGCGTAAGTAAACTGATCCCATCTGGATCAACGTGAGTTGAGTCATGAATTTTGCTAACTATCAAGTCTTTTAAAACACTTACAAGATGAAAAATAGCGCATGCGCTCATCAAACACCGAAACAAAACTGACTTATGACGTTTCCCAAAACATGTGGAATAAATTTAATAACACGTTTTAGTAACGAAAGATTACTTACTACTGGACATAATTGGATTCGAAGCATTATAGTGATAAAACGTCAACACGAAACAAGACAATAAAAAACAACGAAGTAAACACCTAAATCACACAACACAACGATGTCTTCAAATTATTTATAAGCAATTTTTTTCGTTTAAATTTAATCTGTGAAATCGTTCCTCCCACTCTTATAATGTTGTTTCCTTTCTTCGTCAAATAAAATCAGTTTTTGCACGAAGGACACTTTTACTAAAATTTTACCCAGTTCTGAACTTCCATCACGTTTTATTTTCTAAATGACAGCCATTTATTTAGACCTTCACAATGCGCGTTGTCTGCACTTTTTTAGGGCAACGTTTTTAAAGGTTTTTTTAGTCTAAATGATTTCGAGATGACGTCACCAACTTTTTGGAGGCCATAAACCGATAAATTGTGATTAGCGATTTACCATGCTTGCGATAACGTTAAACGTTTACAAAATCGCAGAGCACTTTCTAAGTTAAACTGAATAAAACGATAAATATACACGTTTCCAAACGGAGTACCTATTTTTTCATACTCCAGGAGATACGTTCATCATGTTATTAAGGAAGGTGTGAATAGATAATTTCGTGATAACCTTGAAGGGTGTGCACAATTTATTACCAATCAATTACCTTATCTACAAACGTTCTTGCACCTCGAAGATAAGGCAGCAGTACCCAATTTTGTCGAAAAATTACGGCGAGATCTCAGAGAATTTTAATTTGGACACAATAAAAAACATCAAACCCAACCATGGACTTTTGAGGATTTATCTTTGATAGAATTGAAAGACGTTTCAAAAATCCATGGCTATCTTGGATCGTATTTTGTTTTCTCAGTATAACCTATAACCACACTTCTTTCGCGTGACGTTTTTAATTTTGACATTTACGTCACAAAAATGTTAGCACTCTGTTTTGGGTAATTTCGAACCCGAGATTTGAATGTTAATGACCTCGTTTCAATCCTGTCGATAGTTTTGTTATTCACACGTATTTTCGATCAGTTACGCTAGACAATGTCGACCGATTTTTTCAATATATCCGGTTTAGCGCTTCGATTTTAATAGCGTATGCAAACATTAGGGTGTAAGATTAAGGGAAAGTAGCACAATAGAGGGTCTAATTCCATTTAGTTCCCGTCCACGCGTAGCACCCCTCCGTCAATTGTTTACAATTTCGAGCTTGGTCCACCTTAAATGAAATTCCTATTCTAGCAGAAACACAAAACTCGTTTGTGTGAAATTCGGATTTCGAAATAATCCAGTTCGTCCAGAACAAATTAACTTAGCATAAAATTAAAACAAGGGTTTTCGTACCTGTGAATGGTGTGGTGGAGGATTTTCCACTATGTAAACCGGCCGTTCGCCCCTTTTCATGGCAAGAGCATTTAATTCTACAGTTGGGGTCATCACACCGGGATTGGTAGCCCTGTTGCCAGGCCGATTTCGAACAGTTTTCGAAGGCGGATGTTTGAATTCTGTTTTAGCTAGTGACTGTGCAGCTGCAGAATGCTGGGCTTTTTTAATACTCGGACCTTCAGATTTGTATTCTTCGTTGCCCAATTTAAGTGTGACGGTAAATACTTTTTTGTGTGCTGGTCCTGTCTCCTCTGTCAGCTGATACTGGTGTTGTATTTTATTGTACCTTGCCAATTCATTGACCAAGCACATTGGCGTTTTTTCTTTTATGTTTGCCAAAGTAGTACTGGGCGGTGCAGACGAAGTACTAGTGTTCGGACCTGATTGGTGCTGCTGCTGTGTGTCGTTGTTATGCTGAGGTTGTTCCGTTTCAGGTGCTGCCGCGTTCTCATAGTGATAAACTATAATAAAAATTATACGTGTAATACTAAAAACAAAAAAAGGGATGTCCCACTAGGCTCATCTTCATTTAATTTTTAAATGCGGTTTCGCCGGAAATGCCTCCAACCCTTACAAAAGTATATTCTGAAGTAAAACTGAAAAAATTGCGTACATTTCAGGCGAAACTAAATTTCAATGAAAATAATAAGAATAATAATAATTAAAAAATGGGAGGGAGGTGAGCCTGGTGTGATATATGAATGTAAACAACACAAAGATAGTGAAACAAGAAACGTTCATGGCAGAGGCATTTGTTGATAAATGAATCAACAACGTATAATGTAGTTTAGTGTCTAGGGTGTGGATAGACGGACGTGTCAGTGAATATCGGTTCATTTCTTTTATTCCCCAGATGATTGAGAAACTATTAAGTTCAAATATGCTACCATTATCCACTAATGGAAATGAACAAACGGAATTTAGGTAAGTGGGTTTTAATTCTCATCAAGTTCACTACGAAACGGACTATTTTTACTTCTCCTCTCGACCGAAAATTATTAATTACTAGCTCTCAAGTTGTACTTTTAAATCCGTCCAAAACTATGTCCAGACCCAACAATTTACAAACAAAAAATTACGCTAAATGACAAAAATCTACAACAAATTGATCAAACACTTCCACCTCGCATAGAAAGATATAAATCGTACTCTTTTTTGGTGATTATTGAAACTACGAGCGTCCCTCTACGCAGGGTGTGATCTGTGGTGTGCGCATGCGTTGTGCGCTACATATTTCTACTTTATGTATATTTTACAATTTGTATTTTAGCTCTAAATAGTCACTGTAATGTGAACACATTTTTATTTTTTACGTTGAATTTTGAGACAATTCACAAATGCGCATGCGCCGTAACTTGGTTTCAATAAGGTGCACAGCTAATTTTGTACATATATTTTATTACAAAAATACATAACCAAAGAAAAAGTTGCTACAATAACAAAAGCGTTCACAAAATTCAAACAATCACGATATTTCTTGTTGTATAATTGTCATTATTTCTGGTAATTATGTGCAGATAAAAAATATGATGTCGACTTCTACATTAAAAATATTATCATTAATGTTCTTTTGAATTGATTCATGATAACGGTCAATTAAAATTGTACATAGTTGATAGCGGGTAAAACCAAGTAATGTAGGAATTTCTGATCGATTTAAATCACAATTTGAGTGTAACTAAACAAACCATGCAATCTATCGACTAAACTAAACAGATGCAAGCATGCACGGTAAACACTTCAAAATCCGCAGTGATACAAATTCGGCAAATTCAAGACTTACGAATCCATGGATAGTACGTTCGAGAAATATGTTTGTATTGTATGCACAACACTGCGAAAGTGACCCAATTTGGTGTCAAGAATATCTGGAAATACTAACTTTCCCACATCTATTTCTTATTTTAGAAAATAATACTAGAAGCAATAAATTTCCGGTCGTTATTGTTATCATTTTTGTGGTTATTGCGCACGTGCAATTAAATTTGTTTTACAAAATATTTTTATTAAAATTAATTGCCGACACATTTTGTGCAATCGCTTGCGATTATCGATTAAACACTTTAATGACGAAGCACTAGTCACTGGTAACTGGGAGATTGCTCACTTGGATTTTGGGTAAAAAAAATCAAAATTATGAATCACTATTTGAAATAATTTTAAAATATAAAAAAAAATACACTTGTCTACTGATAATAAAAGATAGGGCACTCTGTATACACAAACACAAATCTAAAACTACTATAATTCACTATAAGTACGATTTAAATTGATATTAAACTTTCCTTTTATTCCACAGCCAACTACATTTAATAACAAACCTGTGTAGAACCAGGGAATAAACATGTGGCCGCTGCGTAAGCGCTAAACTTATGCACTTAAAGAACCTTTTAAAACTCCCCGAAAATGTGAGAAATCAATTTAAATGAGTGCACAAATATAAAATAATTATTTAAATTTCCAAACCCACAAAGCAAATCAAAGTGAATAAATTATGAATGAATTCAGCTTGCTCATTCAAATTAAAAACGAAAACTCAGCGTCTCGTCCCTCTTCAGCTGTCTTTATTTAAATTCACCAAAAATCTGATCAAAGAAAGAGAAGCAAAACGTAAATAAAGTTCCCTTTGGTGTGCACTCTGTTCATGAATTCCTTTTCTACGTTCTCTTTGATGTTTGCAAACAAATGAAACAAACTTGATGTAAAATTAAATTGTGTACTTTTCTGACTTGTTTTTATCAGCTTGTTAGCGCGCGCCTTGGGGCAAATTAAAAAACGCGACTAAATACACAAAAGGGAAAAAAAGCGAAACACGTCCATCCCAGAAATCCCCGTCACTTCACAATCATGTGATCACTACATCTAACAAGCACATGCACCGACTAACAACTACCTTGCTGTAGATTACTTTTTGGCTGGGGCTGTTGCGGTATGGATGGGGTCGAAATGAGTGTAGGACCCGGAGGCATCGAAACCAGAACACCTAAAACAGCAAATGAAGCGAAACCGGCGCGAAATTTAGAGCCCGTACCTGCGTGGGTAGCGGGCACCGGCGGCTGGATGCTCATAAGCATGGGTTGGCTCCTGTGATTCGGGGGAGGGCCCATTTGTTGCATTCCCATCCTGTACCAGAAAAAGCATAAATCCTTAATGGGATTGTCCCCACGCGAATTCATGGGAGCCACGATTTACCTGGCATTCCTCTGCATCCCGTTTTGTGACATGTGATGATGTTCTTGCAGCATTATATCGTAAATAATTTCGGTTTGTTGTTGTATGAAAGGGAGGAGTTGAATCAGAGACCGGTAATGACGTATCAGTCGCAATATTCAGTTGTCTGGCACTGTGCTATTACAATTGAGCATTTATGGAGTCGTCGAAAGTTTATTCAGTTCAAGTCTCTAACCAAACACCACTACTAAATCTTTTTTAATACGTTGGCAAACAATAAAGAAAATCAGCAACTAACATGCGGCCATGTTAGAACAGTCGCGGTAACATGCAGAAACGTAACGCAACGCAGCCGCAGCGTGTGCGCACGCGCAATACAATTTTTCTCGCAGAATGTCAACTAAGAGAAAGAATGTAGCGCTAAATTTAAACCAAAAATTACAACGAAAAAACCCTCCTGATCAACTTATTCAACCAAAAAAATAGCCATAATTAAAATTTGTTTTTAGTAAGTTACAGTAGAAATACGCAAGACGTATACATGTAAGCGCACTTTATAGGGTTATTTTAGTACGAAGCGTATAGGCAACCCAATATACACTCATTACCTTTGATGAAAATAAATGCAGTGACGGCTGTATGGGAGGAATTTAGGGTACTACCAGTGTCACTGCTATGTCAAGGAAGTTAATCTACACATCTCATACGTGAATGAAGCAACAATTGACATCAAATAATATAGTTAAAACAAAACTTACAAAAATATAAAATATAGGATACAAATGTTTTATAAAACACATAATTACATGAAGTTCAAGCAACACATCACGAACTACAAATTAGTTGTTGCTGGCCCTTTCAAAAAACATGAAATCCTACAAGAAACATGTTAAAACTCTACACCTACCATCAAATGATACTCACAATTAAAAAACAAGCGCCCAACAAAAGGGCCTTAGTTTTTATATCCAAGTCAATTGGAAAAGTGATGCCAAAATTATCAGCATCAGTAAACATTTCTCTGACAAGACCTGTCCATTGTTTTGTAATTTTGCCCAAATTTGTTTCGCCGTCGGCTGAAGTAATATAAAAGTTAACGTCACTGAAACAGCTAATAGGACAGCAGGGACCATTTATTCTCAAAACGGTTTCCTTAAATTCATTTTTAACCGCAAACTTCCAACCAATGCACTTCCATTCTTCTTCCACTGTACCTATAACGGTTCCTGGAGGTGACGAAATTTCAATGGTCTAAAAGTTTTCACCGTATTGATACGTCAAAACTAAATTTTTCTAGTACCTGCATACAACACGGGAAACAGCATCCTTGACAAGCGAATGGACGATATAAGTGGATAACTTCATTCCTAAAATTATCAAAAATCTTCATGTCGAAGGGTCGTAAAGGGCCACAACAGTTTCTTGTACAGCAATCATTATCTTCAATGGCGTAATACACTTTTTGGCCCAGAATGTTTTTAATGGTGTATTTATTATTTGTTTCAAATCCAGTGATAACTATAAGTATTCATCAATAAAAATTATTTTATATATGTGTTATAATACTTTCAAGCAGTTCTACTTTTTGGTGAATAAGCAACTGGTCTATAGTTGCCAGATACTCTAAGCCCGGGGGGCAGTTATATAGGGGTGGTTGATCCGTCCAATAACCCTCTATAACATAAATAACTGACTTAAAACCCACTTAAGTCAAACGATGAGCACTTATACCTGGTGCACTGGTTGGCTGGATGACGATAGCCTCTGGTACATTAGGAACAGTTTCAAAATTTTGAATTTGTATTTCTTCAACATTACCTTGCGTGGGTATTAATGGGAAGGTATCATCTACGGAATATCTACTTTTTCAAAATTTATTAAAACACATCAACTCACTGCTGTTTGACACATGTACACCCGGTAGTTGGCCATCCGATAAAGACATTGTTATTACTCGTTACCTGAAAACTACCACTAGTCTCAAAAAATTATACCGATTCGTGTCACCAAAACGCAACTACTAAAACAAAACAGTGCAACTGATAAAAAATGTCAACCTATACAATCTGACGCGATATGAGATTTAAAAAAACAGAGCGGCAGCGTTATTCTGCTTTCAACACCTACGCTGTTGAGCACTACAGGAAACCTTGGTACCGGAGGGTGTACTGATAATGAGTGAAAAACGATGACGCGTAAAACTCATGCAATTTGATAAAGCTGGCAAGATAATGTGTAACCGACCTAACGTTATTTCCAGACGTACGAAAATAACTTGTTTAAGAACTTCCACGCAACTGGTCGTCACAATATAAATAAGCTTTCAAAAATAATATTTATGTTTTATCGAATTAGTTTGCCGCGAAATTTAATTAAAAATATGATTGATAACCTCAGATAAGCGTATATTACATTTTCGCGAACTAATTCTGGTGGATTCAAAATTAATAACGTAAATAGGAATGAGTGCATTAAACACAACAATAATGCGCATGTGCTACTTACGCGTTGCGCACAAATTCAAATTTAGTTCTAGCTTAAAACAAGTAAAAGAAATTCTGCACAAAATATACCGTAAATAAAGTCTCAACGACAACATTTCAGGCACAAAAATACATGCATTAAAACTGTGTAACAATTAAAATTAAATTAAATTAAATTAAATTAGAAACCTTAACTCCAAAAGAAAATAAGTTTTCGATTATAGGGAAGACACACCTTTAATAACAGTGTAGAGTAACGATCGCAACCACCTGAGATGAGGGAAAACCAAATTATGTGTTCGCGTCATGTTTATCCTCTTATATAACAGGCGTCCTTTTGCTCCTCATTTAATAGCTCGCCTATTATTTAAGATATCGGTTTGCGGCAAAAGCTTAGAACTACATCGAATGAGGTTCGCAGACACTTGAAACGAAGAAACACGAAACCGTGTATTCGGATTCGGGTTATTTATCCTCCTGTAAAACAGGTGTCTTGGGTTTGTCAACATTATAATAGTTCGTTAGATACCGGTTTGTAGTAAAAGCTACGTTTAATAGCAATTGTTATACATGTTATTAATTTAATTAAAAAGGTATTATGGGAAAGAACGCAACATGAAATTTCGGTTTGCAATCGATTATTTATTCGTTGATCGTGCGCTTTAACTTCCATGAATCAAACATACACATATCTACGTTCCTGCAATTTCATAAAGTGATGAAATATTTGAAAATCAGACCCGTGAGAAATGAGTGACTTTCCACACTAAGTGAAACACTTTATAGATATTCTTATTTATTTCTTATGATTTTTGTTCAACACAACTTTTTTGTTTGACTTCCTGGTTGCTACTTGTGAGAGAAAAATGGGGCAATATATTTTGTAGTAACATTTGGCGATAAATAAATTTTTGATAAAGTACAACGGATGTAGGAAACGACGAGATAAGACCTATCGCACGCACTGAACTCCTTTCGCGAATATTTCTTTCTTGGCGTAAGATAGGCACAGGATTTAGAATCCACAATGTAACACTAATCACTACATTATAAATTATTATATTATATTTTGAAATGACGTCATCCATTTTTTGGAGGGACGGATTTAATTGCTTCATGTTTTTGCTTGATTGTTTATTCTCAAGGTGAAAAACAAATATAAAATCAAAATGTCCTACTAATTACACTACAAGCAAGTTTTCGTAATTCATATGTCAAAATACTGAAAAATGAGCGGCAAATTTGGACAGTTTAAATTTCCAATAATCAACTAATGTGACAATCGTTTGTAGAATGTATGTGTTAAGTACATATTGTGTAAGCAATTATTTATTTCATCCAACTGTACATCCAGCATTATATCAGTAAGTCATTTAGTCGACATTTCAGAGCTATTAAAAAAATATTTTCATTTTGATATCAGCAAATCTAACGATAAAAATCTGTCTAAATAAATAACTGCAACAAATGACATTTATTTTACATTTACACAATGTTGTGCAGAGTGTTGTGCATTATCTCTTTTGTTGGATTTGTTTATTGTAGATATTTTGTAAGTTTCTATACAATATATAATCAAAAAATTAGTAGCCATTTTTGTATTCTAATGTTTTTGACAGATCGTAGGGCCCGCAAAAATAAGAATTTTGGATTTTGACCCTTGCAAAGAATATTCCAATCTGCCAATGCAGTTTATCATTAAATCTCGCATGTTTAACGAATCTACTCAACTTTTGGATGCGTTTTGGGTTTTACCAGTTGATCTAGATGAAAATGTGACTGTAAGCATTTTTCACATTTTCGTTAAGAATACGTCACTATTGTTGTTTTTTTGGGTTTAAACATATTTATTTTAATAATATTTTTAGATGAGCTTGAAATGTTCCCGCATTGATAAACGTAAAACTCAAGTTAATTCTTTTATTTTAAACGATGTTGAAGCATGTTCAACATTGCAAAAGTACGTTGGAGACCTGTGGACCTATATTCAGTCTAAAATAGGCATGGAACCTGGAGTATGTCCAGTTAAAATGGTATGTCCTATTGCGTAATGCGCTCATTTCGTACAGCGCAAGTTAATAGTCGTGCGGAATGTAGTTTTCATTGATTAAGGGTGTAATAATATTGAGAGTTAGCTTAAAATTGCGTTTGTTTCAGGGAAATTACTCCACCGAAAACATGATCCTGGATCTAACAAAACTAAATGTGCAAATGATCCTGGAAGGACGATTTAGAACGCGAATTTTTTTGAAGCATTTATCAAAACCTTTGTACTGTACCGACTTCACGATTGAATTGACACCTAAGAAGGAATAATAAATGAATCTGGATTGTACCAATTGCTAATATGTTATATGTTGTATTGTTAAAAAAGTAGCAAAAAATATAAAAATGTAGATATCAATCTGTTACTTCTGGACCAGGAAATATCATCAAAAGAAGAGCCAAAATCTATTAAAAAATGAACAAAAATCGCTTATAATGTTTTGACATTTTACCTGGGATGTATCTGGAAAAATTTGGCAATTACGTCATCTGTTCGAAGAGTGGGGAGGCTATAAGGTTTCGTTAACGATTTAGCATGCTTACAATAACCTTAAAATGTGTGCGAGATTTCGAACCATTCGGTTTTCCGCTTCCAAAGTTAAATTGTAAATTGTTGTTATACAATTTTGATTTTTTTCCAAAAATCTACATATCTACGGTAAAAATTCAAGACGGATTCATGAACAATAAGTGCAGGAGTATGTTATTTTATAAAATTTAAATAACATTTCCTATTGTAAACGTCTAAATAACCAAAAATATATAAAATAGTAATAATGTAACTTAAGACCTCAGAAAAAAGTTGTAATGTGATTTAAAAAACATCATTTTCAATCATATTGTAATTACGAAGCATTTGATGCAAAGGTGAGGTATATACCGTATATGGTGGGTTTTCAACGATTTTCCTTGTTTCTTATTTTCTGGTCCAGAAGTACTACATTAATATCTACTTAAAAAATATGCAACATAATCACACCACGCATTACAATGCATACCTTTACATCCCACGGGCAAAAAGAAACGTGTCTCAAATAAAAAAAACCTATTTATTGTTGTCTTCTAAAGTCAATAAACTTTTAATACTGTGACTAACGCATCAGGTTGATTTTGGGTTCATCCACAAACCACTACGTAGTTAATAGGCCAAGGAACTTGTGGCCAAACTGTCTAAAAAGATTACTAAACCCTTATCAAAGAACAGTATCAGCTGAATATTAATTTTGTAGCTTGAGTAATCGAGCTGCACCTTTAAAGGAACCAATTAGGTACTCCCCGTGAAGAAAAACGGTAAATTGTTGTTAAGGTTGTTGAAATACAATTCATCTGAATTAATTAACATCTCCCCTTCCTTATTCAATCCGTTTCTTACTCAAGACTAAATATAAACCAGTTTAAGAGATTGATACACTACTGTACTACAGCAAGGGTCAGTGATCTCGGGGAAATTTGATCACGGTCAAGGTGGAAAGAATGTGTAAATTGCATATGTCATAAAATGCAACGGGCACTTTTTGAACAACAACCCGAGGCGAAAACTCGAGAGGATTGCCCAACACTGGACAGAATTAGTGAGGAAGTCATAATTTATTCTCAACACATTTAAGGATGATTTAAATCGATCACTTAAGGACTGGTATAGAAGGTTTTATGTTGTTAGCATATGCATTAGTACGCATAAATTAAGTCTTCCGTTACACAAAAAACAATCGTTCCAAAAAAGGAACCACTTTGATTTAATGTCCGATCTTCTGGTTCCAAGCTCATGTAGCCACTGTAGGGGGGTATCATTAGCATGTGTAGCTACAAATAAAAACGGCCCGAGTGAGCACAGTTTTATGATTCTTGAAGACGTCTGCTGTCTCTTGGTCGATGACACATAAAAAACGATCAAGATCTACCGCATATAAAAGTTGAAGGAGCGCCAGGACTAACGTTTATTCAGGCGGTTGCGTGCGAGGTGAGACTTAAAGTTGCCGGGATTGAAGCGAAAATGAAACTTATCGCAACCACGATAACATTACTGGTGGTACTTCAGTCGTTAGGTAAGTACCTAAACCCTACAACCCCATTTGTGATTTGTACCACCTAGATGCCACCCCTGCGCGAATCGTATGCTACTTTAGCAACTGGGCTATTTACCGTCCGGGCATCGGAAAGTACGCACAAGAAGACCTTCCAGTAGATTTGTGTACCCACATCGTGTACTCCTTCATTGGTGTTAAAGATTCCGACTGGAGCGTCCTCGTCATCGACCCCGAAGTAAGTACCTTCACGTTCGTTTACAAAAACTAACCCGCTATGTTTAGCTGGACGTTGATCAAAATGGCTTCCGCAATTTCACCGATTTGAAGAAGGCTCACCCCAAAGTCAAGTTCCAAATAGCAGTGGGTGGCTGGGCCGAAGGTGGTTCCAAGTACTCGGCAATGGTTGCCGAAAAATCCAGGCGAGACGCGTTCATCGGGAGCGTAATTGGTAAGTTTGACTGACGTTTGAACCACCACTTCAACACCGTTTTAGCTTTCATGAATCAATATGGGTTCGACGGGTTCGACTTGGATTGGGAGTACCCAGGAGCGGCTGATCGAGGCGGTAGTTTTAGCGACAAGGATAAATTCTTCTACTTCGTGGAAGAGCTTAGGCGAGCGTTCGACAAAGAAGGAAAAGGCTGGGAAATCACTATGGCGGTACCTATTGCAAAATTCAGGCTCCAAGAAGGGTACCACGTTCCTGAGTTATGCGAGTAAGAGAAAAGTCGTTTGATTGTAAACCAATTTTAATTGTGCGTTTTCCGAAGATTGTTAGATGCCATTCACGTTATGTCGTACGACTTGCGTGGTAACTGGGCTGGTTTTGCTGATTCGCATAGTCCTCTTTACAAACGTCCACATGACCAGTGGGCCTACGAAAAACTAAATGTCGTACGTAGCTGTGTTTTTGTCGTCATACTTTTCTTAAGAATTGTGTCTAGAACGATGGACTACAACTGTGGGTCGACTATGGCTGCTCTCCCAAAAAACTAGTCGTAGGTATTCCCTTCTATGGAAGAACTTTTACTCTTAGTGCTAGCAACAACAACTACAATCCTGGTACTTACATCAACAAAGAAGCCGGAGGTGGTACCCCAGGTCCCTACACTAACGCAACCGGTTTCTTGGCCTACTACGAGGTACTTCCATCTGTTGTAGTTGTACGTTCTAACCCCCGAATTCTAGATTTGCCCCGACATTTTGGACAAAGAAAGCGGGTGGACCAAGAAATGGGACGAACACGGCAAAGTTCCTTACGCCTACAAAGGCAACCAGTGGGTGGGCTACGAAGACCCTGAGAGCGTCCAAATCAAAATGGACTTCATTAAATCCAAAGGGTATGGCGGTGCTATGACTTGGGCCATCGATATGGACGATTTCCACGGGCTTTGTGGTCCCAAAAACCCACTCATCAATATTCTGTACGCAAACATGAATTCGTATTCGGTGCCCGAACCCACAATTACCACGACCCCAAGGGTACGCTATAATAACCATTTTGTAGGACACGGTACATTGTGTTTTTCAGCCTGAGTGGGCACGACCTCCAAGTACTGCGTCTGCTGATGGTTCTAAACCCGTTGTGACGACACCGAAACCCGGGCAGTGGGTTCCAGAGCAGTCGACGTCTACTACGAGGAGAACCACGACGACTACTACCTCCGAAAGACCGGCAAGTACCGCAAGTACCACGACGGCGGCGAGTGCGCCACCCAGTTCCACGCAAGGTTCTTATAATGAAGTAGACCAGTCTGTCGAGCAGAAAGAATGTAAACAGGATTTCATGCCCCACGAACTCTGTGACAAAGTAACGGTTTGATGCAAGTTTGTTATTTGGTAATAATGGGTTATGTTTTTAGTACTATCGCTGCGTCCACGGGAAACCCACTGAGTTTTCGTGCAGACCTGGAACTGTCTTCCACACACAGAGCAATATTTGTGATTGGCCACAACACGCCGATCGTGAACAGTGCAGAAAGGTGGAAGAATAATTTGACTGATGACAAATTACTTAACTTAAGTAGGGTTACTATAGTTTTAAGGTTCGTTCACTACGTATTACATTTAATAAATGATTTTTTTTTATAAAATGACCACTTTTATTTGTATAAAGTAAAAAAGCTGCGAAAGTACAACGAATTGTTCATTATTACTTAACCAGTTGGAACATGTCTTGCTCTGTAGGTTTCGAAATCCATGTACCCAAATTTGCTTTGATAAATGCTTCATACAGACGCGTTTTAGCCACCTTTTATAAACAAAACATAACTTAGATTTTATAGACTGTAGTAAGTAGGTACCAACCTGGTACGAAGACGCTGCTTCTTTGATATCGCCGTACGTTTTCAAAGATTTGCTTTCGACTTCCGTTATGCTAAAAATCTTTCCCCTGGTGTTCATAAACTTGATCATGAATTCTCTTTTGCACAGTTTCGAATTTCCACCTTCAGGTTTGCCCGTGTTGGTCCTAACAATTTCTGGTTGAGGACTGGATAGACACCAATTGATTGACAGTCTTGGAGATTTACCCACGTCTCGAGTCTGTCTTGAAGTTAATAAGAACAACGAAGGTTTGTTAAGTTGAAACAGATTCGGAAGACCTGTAACCTCACTTTCTATTCTTCCACAAATCGCTCTAAAATCTCGTTATTTTTTCATTTATTACAAAAATGTTGTAACTTACCTGTATAAGTGCGTTTCGTGCATAAGACTTCCTAAAATAATGGATTTCAAGTAAATCGGTTCTATAAAATGTGATAATAAAGCTCCCTGAAGTCCTACAACATTCCACTTACAAATTTTATCGGAACAAGACATGGTCAGTAAATTTTCTCCCCCTAAAATTCCATCCCATGTTTGTAAAGCAGAACGATTTTTAATGCTAGTTCCTTCTGAAGCCTCGATTTTGACACGCAACTGTCCCCTAATACTTCTATTACAATGTTTATTTTCTTGTTTACCATCAAAAGGACAAAAAATTCTTGCATCACCACAGGGTGCCGTATTAATGTATAGGTGAAATTGAATCCCATCCTTCAATTTATACCCGTTTCCGTCTTTACGTAAAGTAAAAATCGATTGATGTTGTTTTGAACCAGCTAAAAGGTCAAGTTGGTCGTAGAAAAAATTTATCAGACCCCTTCTTGATAAAATTTCTGCATGCATATCGTTTAGAGTTACTCCACTGAGACTAATGTGCTCGCCTGGTATACACTTAGTTCCTGTATTAACTGAAATTACTTTACAAGAAGATAAATTGTCTTTTTGCATCATCACAATGCCAGCAAGAACTTTGAAATTAGCATGATCCGAATTTCCCATTAAAGTTTTAAACTTTTCGTGAACTAGTCTACAATTATATTGTTGTTATTCTATTAGTGAAGTAAACGTGGCTTTTCTCACCGGCCTATATAATCAGCTTTCTTCTGACCATCTGAGACCGAATCAGAAGGTTCTTTAGTCAAAGGATTCTTCAAAATCGCCGTAAGTTTAGCTAACGCAGCAGCAGCTGCAGCTTTTTTGGCAACTTTCTTACTGGTACCTAGAACACAAACCGTAGTACCAAAACCCACAAAACCAGAACTCACCAGCTCCAGAAAACTTATGTTCCCCGATTGTAATGGTAATTTTGAACCCGATTTTGTGTTCTTGGCACGTGTAGATGGAATTTGGGTACAACTGGTTTAGAACCATCGCAGGATTCTGGACTTTCTTGTTTTTGGTTTTGGTTTTAGTGGGGGTAGTTTTGGGTGGATTGGTGAGGACGTGGACAGCAGGTTTAGCAGCATTGGTCTTAGCAATTTTCTTGCTACTTCCTTGTCCACAGTAAGTGAGACCATCCACTTTAATTCTGGCAAAAAACGTAGCAGCATGTATTGGTCCAGTTTGGTCAACTGTGTACTTTAAGCCAGGTCGCAGTTCATTAAGAACGCATATAGGGTTATCAATATTTTTTGTTTTATGGGGTTCCGTTTTTGCTTTTTTCGTTGGCTGAGTTGCATCTACCAAAATATATAGAAACAAAGTAAAAGGATTTTCTGAAAATCGAAATAAAAGCTCACCTGAAGTTGTTTCCTTTTTCTTTTTGTTCTTTGAAGATGTATTTGTTGCTTCCCTGTTTTCTTGCTGTGCTTCAGACTGATTTTTCATAGCGGATGCTATCTGGTGCTTAAAAACATTAAAGTTGTTGTTGTAGTTTTCTAAAGTTTTATCAATTTTGTCTAATTTTTGTTTAAGTTGACTTGTTTCTTTCAAAATGCGTTTTAGAATGGCAGATACAGAATTGTTAGAAGACATTTCTAACATGAATGGTGAAAAAAAATCTGAAATCAAAAAAAGAAGTCCTTTGAAACAGTGAAAATATGGTACTTATAATAATAACGTGCTTGTGTAAAAGTAACTTGAAGCAAATTTCACTCGTCGAGGTCAAGTAAGATATTACTGGTAACGATAAAAACTTAACGGACTGATTCTTGTGTTCTGACTGTATAAACTAAATCTGTAGTAGTATTGTTGAATATATTTTGCCCTAAGGTACAATATTTTCGTCTCTTCTGGTACCACTACGTAATCAGGGATTTTATGACTAATGCGCATAAGTTACTGAGATGATTCTTATTTCAAGGCAACTATAGTATTTATATTTAGTCTAATGATAATGGTAAAACTTACCTGGGATATAAATTAATTTCTTACACGAAATTCGGTACTTACACGGTTACACGTACTCAAAATAAGCGAGCACGACTGAGCGTGTGAAAGCATTAAACCGGTTGGCGACAATGAAATAATGTGAGTGACCAGCTGATATCGTCAAATGCGGGGAATCCCCTGATTACTTTAATGAAGTAAAAATTTTTGACAGATAAACCCTATTATCTATTTATTTTGTTTGATACATGGTTTTCGACCTCGACATTTATTCGATAATCATTGATCAACACAATAATTTCACCATCCTCATGGACCCCCATTATAACGGGACTCTACATTTGTTTGAACAGTTACAGATCGAAGAAAAAAACATGTCCATATATAAATGGAAACAACGGAACTTTTCTGTTACATATTTTTTTAAATTCTGAGTCAACGAACGGTGACGGACTAGTGCCGCTGAGACACGCCTTGTCGATCTTGACAATGAGGCTTTTACACCACAAGGGCGGTTGCTCGGGCGCCAGCTCCCTCCCTAATACTATTGTAAAATGTTTCCTAATCTATTTTCTGACAAGTCTTTATTATCCAATTTTGATTTTTCAAAAACAAATCTATTTCAGAGTATATTTATCACTATTTATTTTGTTGTCATTCTGTAATTATTTTGAAAATCCCTGTTAAAAAACTCATTAACACGACCCAAAATTTTTAGCGTTAAAAAAAGGCATAGGTTATCTGAAAATTACCCCTTTCTAACAAAATTTAGTGTCTGGTTTGCGGTTAAATTGATTTGTAAGACGCTTTTTGACCTACAAGATACATCTAAAGACAAACAACATCCTATATATGTATATATTTGTATATATCTATAATTTTGAATGTTGTGTGAGGACTATATTTTTAGGTCCGAACCAAGGGGATAAGTAAATTTAATGATAATTTTTTTCAAATGCGTTATCGTCAAGCGTTCTGTTAAACCGCTAACCAGTGATGGCATTTTCAGTTTAAATTAAATAATCTAGAATAAGTGAGGAGAGGGTTGTAGTTATTCTTGGATTTTACAGAAAATTCGACACCAGGATTTTTTAGTTTGTTTCTTTACGTTGTGGACGAGGTTATAATTATTTAGAACTGTGCGCAAAGTTAATAAATAATAGGAAAAAATCAAAACTATCGAGGATTAAGACTAAAAAACTGATAAAAGGTAAGAAAAAAAAAATAGGTGACATTTTAACTCACAGATTACGCTTCATTCCTTCATATTCTTCATTAAGATTTCTAGGATCTAGACTTTTTAGTTTTATTGATTTTGTCCACTATAGTTTCAGTAAGCTCTCTAAACTCTTTAGATCCTAGACGATTTAAGTTCTCTACATTCTCTAAGCTGTCTATCGTTTCTAGGTCCTCTATATTCTCTATACTTTGGACATCCTCTCACCTCCGTATTTTAAATTCTCTTTAGATTTTCAAATCCTTAAATTATCTAAATTTTCTAAATTTCCAAAAGTCTCAATTTTCTCTAAGATCTCTAGGACGTAGACTTTTTGATTTTATAGTTTTTCTGAGCTCTCTAGTGACTCTAGGCTCTTTAAAGTTGTTATGATTATAGACGATTTAAATTCTCTAGATTCTCTCAGCTCTGAAACTCCCTAAATTCCGTAAACTCTTTAAATTCTCTACAGATTTTCTCTGAATTATCTGGACCTTCTAGGTTCTCGAAAGTTCCCATTTTCTCTAAAATGTCTAGAATCTAGACTTGCCAGATTTTATAGATTTTCTGGGTTTTCTAGGACACTGCAGGCTCTCCAAAATCTTCTGACTCTAGAAAATTAAAATTTTCTAGTCACTCTAGATTCTTCATGTTCTGCAAACGATCTAAACTAGTTAGACTCTTAAATTCTCTCTAGATTCTCAACTCCCTAAATTATCTTGGCCATCTATGTTCTCTAAAGTTTCCGTTTTTTCTAAAATTTGTAGAATCAAGACTTCTTAATTTTGTATATTTTCTGAGCTCTCCAAAATCTTTAGATTCTATACGGTTTAAATTCTCGAGATTCTCTATAGGCTGTGTATAGTTTCTAGATGCTCTAGATTTTTTCTGATCTGGAGATCCTCCAAATTTCGTAGACTTCCTAAAGTCTTCATTTTATCTAAGATTTCTAGGATCTAGACTTTTTGGTTTTATAGATTTTGTTGACTATCTAGTTTCAGTAAGCTCTCTAAACCCTTTAGACCCTAGACGATTTAAATTCTCTACATTCTCTAAGCTATCTATAGTTTCTAGATCCTCTATATTCTCTATACTTTGGAGACTCTCTAACCTCCGTACCTTAAATTTTCTCTGGATTCTCAAATCTCTAAATTATCTAAATATTCTAAATTCCCTAAAGTTTCAATTTCCTCTAAGATCTCTAGAATCTAAACTTGTTGATTTTATAGATTTTCTGGGCTTTCTGGTGACTCTAGGCTCTTTAAGGTTTTTAGGATTATAGACGATTTAAATTCTCTTCCTAAAGTCTTCATTTTTTCTAAGATTTCTAGGATCTAGACTTTTTAGTTTTATAGATTTTGTTAACTAAATATCTAGTTTCAGTAAGCTCTCTAAACCCTTTAGACCCTAGACGATTTAAATTCTCTACATTCTCTAAGCTGTCTATAGTTTCTAGATCCTCTATATTCTCTATACTTTGGAGACTCTCTAACCTCCAATACCTTAAATTTTCTCTGAATTCTCAAATCTCTAAATTATCTAAATTTTCTAAATTCCCTAAAGTCTCAATTTTCTCTAAGATCTCTAGAATCTAGACTTGTTGGTTTTATAGATTTTCTGGGCTTTCTGGTGACTCTACGCTCTTTAAAGTTTTTAGGATTATAGACGAATTAAATTCTCTACAGATTTTCTTTGAATTATCTAGATTTTTTAGGTTCTCGAAAGTTCCCATTTTCTCTAAAATGTCTAGAATCTAGACTTGCCAGATTTTATAGATTTTCTGGGTTTTTTATGTCACTGCAGGCTCTCCAAAATCTTCTGACTCTAGAAAATTAAAATTTTCTAGTCATTCTAGATTCTTCATGTTCTGCAAACGATCTAAACTAGTTAGACTCTTAAATTTTCTCTAGATTCTCAACTCCCTAAATTATCTTGGCCATCTATGTTCTCTAAAGTTTCCGTTTTTTCTAAAATTTGTAGAATCTAGACTTCTTAATTTTGTATATTTTCTGAGTTCTCCAAAATCTTTAGATTCTATACGATTTAAATTCTCGAGATTCTCTAGGCTGTGTATAGTTTCTAGATGCTTTAGATTTTTTCTGATCTAGAGATCCTCCAAATTTCGTAGACTTCCTAAAGTCTTCATTTTTTCTAAGATTTCTAGGATCTAGAGTTCTTGGTTTTATAGATTTTGTTGACTATCTAGTTTCAGTAAGCTCTCTAAACCCTTTAGACCCTAGACGATTTAAGTTCTCTACATTCTCTAAGCTGTCTATCGTTTCTAGATCCTCTATATTCTCTATACTTTGGACACCCTCTCACCTCCGTATTTTAAATTCTCTTTAGATTTTCAAATCCTTAAATTATCTAAATTTTCTAAATTTCCAAAAGTCTCGATTTTCTCTAAGATCTCTAGAATCTAGACTTGTTAATTTTATAGATTTTCTGGGCTTTCTGGTGAATCTAGGCTCTTTAAAGTTTTTAGGATTATTGACGATTTAAATTCTCTACAGATTTTCTTTGAATTATCTAGATTTTCTAGGTTCTCGAAAGTTCCCATGTTCTCTAGGATGTCTAGAATCTAGACTTGCCAGATTTTATAGATTTTCTGGGTTTTTTATGTCACTGCAGGCTCTCCAAAATCTTCTGACTCTAGAAAATTAAAATTTTCTAGTCATTCTAGATTATTCATGTTCTGCAAACGATCTAAACTAGTTAGACTCTTAAATTCTCTCTAGATTCTCAACTCCCTAAATTATCTTGGCCATCTATATTCTCTAAAGTTTCCGTTTTTTCTAAAATTTGTAGAATCTAGACTTCTTAATTTTGTATATTTTCTGAGCTCTCCAAAATCTTTAGATTCTATACGGTTTAAATTCTCGAGATTCTCTAGACTGGGTATAGTTTCTAGATGCTCTAGATTTTTTCTGATCTGGAGATCCTCCAAATTTCGTAGGCTTCCTAAAATCTTCATTTTTTCTAAGATTTCTAGGATCTAGACTTTTTGGTTTTATAGATTTTGTTGACTCTCTAGTTTCAGTAAGCTCTCTAAACCCTTTAGACCCTAGACGATTCAAATTCTCTACATTCTCTAAGCTGTCTATAGTTTCTAGATCCTCTATATTCTCTATACTTTGGAGACTCTCAAACCTCCGTACCTTAAATTTTCTCTGGATTCTCAAATCTCTAAATTATCTAAATTTTCTAAATTCCCTAAAGTTTCAATTTTCTCTAAGATCTCTAGAATCTAGACTTGTTCATTTTATGGATTTTCTGGGCTTTCTGGTGAATCTAGGCTCTTTAAAGTTTTTAGGATTATAGACGATTTAATTCTCTACAGATTTTCTTTGAATTATCTAGATTTTCTAGGTTCTCGAAAGTTCCCATGTTCTCTAAGATGTCTAGAATCTAGACTTGCCAGATTTTATAGATTTTCTGGGTTCTTTATGTCACTGCAGGCTCTCCAAAATCTTCTGACTCTAGAAAATTAAAATTTTCTAGTCATTCTAGATTCTTCATGTTCTGCAAACGATCTAAACTAGTTAGACTCTTAAATTCTCTCTAGATTCTCAACTCCCTAAATTATCTTGGCCATCTATGTTCTCTAAAGTTTCCGTTTTTTCTAAAATTTGTAGAATCTAGACTTCTTAATTTTGTATATTTTCTGAGTTCTCCAAAATCTTTAGATTCTATACGATTTAAATTCTCGAGATTCTCTAGGCTGTGTATAGTTTCTAGATGCTCTAGATTTTTTCTGATCTGGAGATCCTCCAAATTTCGTAGACTTCCTAAAGTCTTCATTTTTTCTAAGATTTCTAGGATCTAGACTTTTTGGTTTTATAGATTTTGTTGACTATCTAGTTTCAGTAAGCTCTCTAAACCCTTTAGACCCTAGACGATTTAAATTCTCTACATTCTCTAAGCTGTATATAGTTTCTAGATCCTCTACATTCTCTATACTTTGGAGACTCTCTAACCTCCGTACCTTAAATTTTCTCTGGATTCTCAAATCTCTAAATTATCTAAATTTTCTAAATTCCCTAAAGTCTCAATTTTCTCTAAGATCTCTAGAATCTAGACTTGTTGATTTTATTGATTTTCTGGGCTTTCTGGTGACTCTAGGCTCTTTAAAGTTTTTAGGATTATAGACGATTTAAATTCTCTACAGATTTTCTTTGAATTATCTAGATTTTCTAGGTTCTTGAAAGTTCCCATGTTCTCTAAGATGTCTAGAATCTAGACTTGCCAGATTTTATAGATTTTCTGGGTTTTCTAGGTCACTGCAGGCTCTCCAAAATCTTCTGACTCTAGAAAATTAAAATTTTCTAGTCATTCTAGATTCTTCATGTTCTGCAAACGATCTAAACTAGTTAGACTCTTAAATTCTCTCTAGATTCTCAACTCCCTAAATTATCTTGGACATCTATGTTCTCTAAAGTTTCCGTCTTTTCTAAAATTTGTAGAAACTAGACTTCTTAATTTTGTATATTTTCTGAGCTCTCCAAAATCTTTAGATTCTAGACGGTTTAAATTCTCGAGATTCTCTATAGGCTGTGTATAGTTTCTACATGCTCTAGATTTTTTCTGATCTGGAGATCCTCTAAATTTCGTAAACCTCCTAAAGTCTCCATTTTTTCTAAGATTTCTAGGATCTAGACTTTTTGGTTTTATAGATTTTGTTGACTCGGTAGTAAGCTCTCTAAACTCTTTAGACCCTAGAAGATTTAAATTCTCTACATTCTCTAAGCTGTCTATAGTTTCTAGATCCTCTATATTCTCTATACTTTGGAGACTCTCTAACCTCCGTACTTTAAATTCTCTCTAGATTCTATTATTATTATTCTTAAATGTCTAAATTATCTAAATTTTCTAAATTCCCTAAAGTCTCAATTTTCTCTAAGATCTCTAGAATGTAGACTTGTTGATTTTATAGATGTTCTGGTCTCTAGTGACTCTAGGCTCTCTTAAAGTTTTTAAGATTATAGACGATTTAAATTCTCTACCGATTTTCTCTAAATTATCTAGGTTGTCGAAAATCCCCATTTTCTCTAAAATTTCCAGAATCTAGACTTGTTAGATTTTTTGGGCTTTTTAGACTCTCCAAAATCTTTCGACTCTAGACAATTTAAATTTTCCAGTTACTCTAGATTCTTCATGCTCTGGAGACCCTTTAACCTCCGTAGACTTTCAAATTCTCTCTACATTCTCAACTGCTTGGCCATCTAGGTTCTCTAAAGTCTCTTCATTTCTCTAAGATCTCTAGAATTGCCAGATTTTATAGATTTTCTGGCCTTTCTAGCTCACTGCAAACTCCAAAGTCTTTCAGCTCTAGACTAATTCATTCTAGATTCGTCATGTTCTGGAAACCCTCTAAACTTCGTAGACTTTTAAATTCTCTCGAGATTCTCAACTCCTTAAATTATCTTATATTATATTCTGCAAAAAATCGCCTTGTGGACGCAAGCTTATATTAAGCTCGAGTGTATTTAGACTTCCTTGAATTTTTTAGTTTGGTGTTATTTTTTCTAGGCTAGATTTAAAATCAGTTGTAATTGTACCTATAACACTGTCTGAACATATTTAAATAAATATTACTCCTATTATTTATTATTTTTCAAAATTCTAAGTGGCGCCCTCTTTTATCCAGCCATAATAAGGCGAAGTTTAGTGATCTAGCAACCATTGCAAAGCGCGTTAAAAGTGTCACCGCATCACGTCCGTCTTTTGTGTGTTAAAGTTGAATTTTTCCAAAGTATTTTCACACCTGCGCACCAGTGTTGGTACCCCCATAAAAGCGTTAGTCCTTTTCTACATTTTGATACCAAAAAGCGCCTCAAACATTCCAGCAAACTCCGTTTTAAATTTCGAATAATTGAGTTTTTCACGCAATCATACCAACCACGCGACGGAAAATCACCAACTTCAAATTCGTAAGTTGCCGGCATTTATTGACGTAAAGGTTATGTTTTTCAGGTGATCGCTCGTGCCTTGCATAAACAAATTTGTAGACAGAGTGAAAAGTGACAAAATGTCAGAAACTATCAAAAGACTGCTCGATAGCGTCTCTACTGTAAGGTATTACAAAACACGAGTATTGTTGTTTTAATTGTGGCTTGTAGGCACCTCCGCGGTGTGTAGAGTACTTGCTTAGGTCTGGATTACTCTTGGACGAAGACGTGGAGTGTATCCTTATGCAGTACACCCCCGATGATGATTATTACACCAATAGTGGGATTTCGGTCACTCAGAAGGTCTTGGGTGTCATTTCCCTAGCAAGTGCAACTTTCATGGCTCACCAAAAATTTGCCATTTCGTATTTGACAGTCGTTGCTTCACCCGTTATTTTTATTAGTCTCCAGTATCTGGGAGAAGTGTTCTATAGAAAGAAGCAAAAGGGAGACCTTGAAACCCTTACTAAAATGCTACGTAATACTTTTAAAATGAACCGTGGCGTCGTTGAGTTCTACAAGAAGCGGAATATTACAGGGTATAATTTAGCGATAATGAAGATACATTTTTGACTGTATTTTTTAGCGCTGTGATTGAAGGTGTAACTAACCCATACACCCAACCCTTCCAACACTTGATTAAAGCCGTTTTTGAAGAAGAAGTTGAGTTTATTACCAACTTTAGAGAATTGGTTCCAAAGTTTGGTGAATATGTGCCTTATTTAAGAGCTGATTATGCTGTTTTAGAACAGATTGAGCTTGATCAGTTTGCACCACATAATATTGCATCGATCGACGATTGTGTTCTATATTTACAAGTTGGTACTAATTTCATATTACTCTTAGTTATAATTATAATAATTGTAGAAACTATGTGATATCTATGTGTTAGTAGTTTCAAATATTTTGACCTGCTTAGCTATCACTGCATGTCCTGATGCAGGGATAAAATATGGTTATAAGACTGACCAACTGTTGGATACAATTGTGCCTAAAATGAAAACCATGATTATAAAATGTTATAATAACGTTGAGAAAAAATTTAATGACATTAAGTTTTATTACGTGGCTAGAAAACAAGCTCAAGAAATTCTAGAATCACCACGTTCAGCTCCTGCCTCAAGGCTTTCTCTTGCAACCTATGATCTTATGAGCAAAGTTTCTGAATTAATTGAGAAATCGCGGTTGATTTATGATAAAATGAAACAGGTAATAAACACGTTTTGTGTAACTACGCTGTCGCTACTAATGTTTAAATGTAATTAGGACGGCGGGGTTAACGACGAATCTGAGTTGAAAACAATGAGCGTCTATATTGAAAATCTTCATAAAGAAACGTTAGATTATTGTCAGAGTCTACATCTCTTACAGAAGCTTTTTGAATTTGAAATTAATAAATCTAAGCTTCCAAATGTGCCGGCATTAGAATCCTCTAGTAAATCTACAATGTCTCCAACCTCTGGTGAAGCAACAGTTGTGGATGCTAGTTTAAATTCCACTGAACCCACTGATGATGAAGAATATGAGTTGTTTATACCAGGTACTAAGACGTACCATTTTGATTTAATTTAACAACATGTTTATTCCAGTGCATGAAATTTTACCTGAAACTTCAAGTTTTGATTCCAATGAGGAACAGGAACTTCGTAAATACGCAGCTGTTGTGGGCCAAGAATTAAAACAAACATTGAAGACCCATTCCCGTTTTGTCGCTGCTCGCAAAAAACGAGGAATTGTAAGCAGAACAAACAAGCCAATTTCTTAATAATATTTTTTTGTATTTATTTAGACTGACGAAGAGCCTGAAAAGGCCGAAACAGTGACTTCAATTAAGGTATTTAATATTGTTAGTGTTACATTGTATCTATCAAAATCGATGTATTCGTCCCCCACAACCAATGATGGAATTTTTTCAGGTTGAGGCACAGGTGCACGAGGTACCAACCTGCGGCGATTCTGTAAGTTTAACGATTGTCTAAAACGTACATAATTTAATCTAAATGTATCACAGAGCGCAATAATATCAGATGTTCCGCCGCCTCCACTATTAAGTGTCCCGCCGCCTCCGCCGCCACCATTGCCTGTAGTGCACGTAGACACGGCTGCACCACCTGATACTGTAACCATATTCACCTATTTATATTACATTATCTAACAACAACGCAACCGTTTTAGGGATCCCACTTTTTGGATATTATCAGAGCACTACCACGCCAAAACGAAGAAGAAACTTTTGAATAAAAAATGGTTGATTGGTCAATTGACCACTGACGTTTCGTTCTGGTTACGTAGGGGCAGAAATCCGCTACGTTTCCGCTTTGAGTTCTTTGTTATAAAAGTTCGTTGGTAATGCGATTTACGTTTGAAGCGATTTTGTAGTCGCATTACCGCTTAAAAAAGATGCGACTCTGACCTCCGAATTTCTCCGGTAACGCAGAGTTTGCATCAGATTGTTACGGTTTTATTATTTTGGAGTTGCGTTACCTTTTAAACATGCGAATTTCTCCAGTAACACAGAATTCGCATCAAGATGTTACGTTTTTTTAATGGTGTTCATGTTTTTTTTATTTTGGATTTGCGTTACCATTTAAAGAGGCGACTCTGACCCCCGAATTGTTCTGGTAACGCAGAATTTGTCCGGTTGTTCCGATTGTTTAAATAGTTGTATTTGTTCTTGTGTTGTGTTGTTTTTTCAATAAAATTTTTTCGTTATGTAGTTGTTTTATTTGTAGTGGCAGTTTGAACTGATTTTGGGGGATTATATTTGAAACAAGTGGTGTGTGCTTCTGGATTTATTCACAAATATTTAGAAAATTATTTTTTATTTCTCATCTATCTTATTGCTTACTAAAGAACAGAAAAAATCTGTATTACACAGATAATCTCCAAAACTATTGGATTTATTGTTGTGAAATTTTAAATATAAAACTTATCAAAATTTGGTCTTCTCCAGCAAGAATTTGATGACATAATTTCGTAATTTTACCCGATAAATCAACCCTTACTTTTTCCATTAGACAAAAATAATAGTCTTGGAAAAAATAATAAAATATTTCACAATGGGATGACTGTTTCTAAAATTGATGACAGATTTTCGGAGACATTCAAAATTCTAGAAAACATTTTCCAATTTAATTTGGCCGTTTAGTTCCCCCCTCTCAAATCTTACAATGATCTTCAAATTTTTATGTTTACGCTAGACATTCAATTTTTTTTTTTTTAAATTAATTAAATTTCATTTTCTTTTAAAGCAGGTACTTGTTATCAATACGTGCTAATAGTAGAATTCCTTGAATGATAAAACATAAACAGTGGACGTTAAACATGTACTGAGAAATTGAGAATACATGTTTTACTTTCCGAACGTAAGCTAACGAAGCATGGTCCATCTAACGAACGCTACTTTTATTCATGTCCTCTATTGTCAATCTTTACTAGACAGATAATCTCCAAAACTACTCGACCGACTGTTGTCAAATTTGTAGTGCATAAAAAAACATAAAATGGAGGAACAAATATGTAGTTACGACAAACTTAGCACAACCCATCTGTACCTCTTTTTAATGATTTTTATTGTAAATAAACTAAATCATCTGAACTGGTTTTAAGGAATGAAGGTCTAAAAATTCGCCAGAAATGCGATCTTATATTTTCCATTTTTTTTTTTTAATAGCCATCTTTTCACAACAAGAAACTTAAAATATGGTTAAAATGGTACATTTTTGCAAGGAAATATGGATTTTGCAATTATGGGCGGAGCCTAATTGCAAAATCGATATTTCCTGATACAAATTTTCCATTTTAAGCATGTTTTCAGTTTCTTGTTGTGAAAAGAAGTCTACACATACTAAAACAAAAAACAAAATGTAAGCCCGCCCACCCGCCCTTTCTCAGTTGTGATGATTTTTTTTATTCACCAAGAACCAAGAGGGCGGAGCTTAACTGCAAATAGTTATTTCTTTACAAGAAATTAAAAACATTTTTTTGAGAATCGTGTTGTTCAAAGAATGCTATGTATATTAAGAAAAAAAGGCAAAATATAAACCCCGCCCACCCACCCCATTTCTATTGTGATGATTTATTTATTCTTAGAAACTCAAAACAGGTTTAAAGGGAATTGCCAACGAATGAAAACTTTATTACTATTTAGGGCAGGGCAGGTATGGGTAGGGCTTAATCTTTGGCTTCAATTTGTTCTTAATATACATAGTATTATTTGGACAACACGATTCTCAAAAACATGTTTTTAGTTTCTCGTAGAGAAATAAGGATCTTGCAGTTAAACTCCGCCCCCTTGGCTCACAACGAATAAAAAAAATCATCACAATTGAGATAGGGCGGGTGGGCGGGGCTTCATATTTTACCTTTTTTTTTCTAAATATACGTAGTCAGTTTTTCACAACAAAAACTTGAAATGGCAAATTTTTGTAGGGTAATATGGATTTTGCAAACATGTTTTAAGTTTCTTGTTGTGAAAAGATGATTACGTACATTAATTAAAAAAAGCAAAATGTAAGCCCCGCCCACCCACTCCAACTCAATCGTGATGATTTTTTCTATTCGTCGTGAGCCAAGAGGGCGGAGCTTAATTGCAAAATCCTTATTTTTTCACAAGAAATTGATAGGTGAAACATGTTCTTGAGTAATCGTGTTGTTTAAAGCGAACTATATGGATTAAGTACAAAAGAATGTCAAAAATAACCACCTCAATCTGAGTTTAATTTTTACTTAGTTTGATATTAGTATTCTCTGAACAACACGATACTCAAAGCATGACTTACATGGTAATTTCTTGTAGAAAAATAAGGATTTTGAAATTAAGGTCACGACGAATAAAAAAAATCATCACAATTGAGATAGGGCGGGTGGGCTGGGGTAGATTTTGCTTTTTTAATATGTGTAGACTTATTTCGACAATAAGAAGCTTAAAATATGGTTAAAATGGTACATTTCTGCAAGGAAATATGGATTTTGCAATTATGGGGCGGAGCTTAATTGCAAAATCGATATTTCCTTATGCAAATTTTCCATTTTAAGCATGTTTTCAGTTTCTTGTTGTGAAACGAAGTCTACACATACTAAAACAAAAAAACAAAATGTAAGCCCGCCCACCCGCCCTTTCTCAGTTGTGATGATTTTTTTATTCGCCAAGAACCAAGAGGGCGGAGCTTAACTGCAAATACTTATTTCTTTACAAGAAATTAAAAACAAGTTTTTGAGTATCGTGTTGTTCAAAGAATACTATGTATATTAAGAATAAGAGGCAAAATATAAACCCCGCCCACCCACCCCATCTCTATTGTGATAATTTTTTAATTCTTAAAAACTTAAAACAGGTTTAAAATGAACTGCCAACGAATGAAAACTTTATTACTATTTAGGGCAGGGCAGGTATAGGTAGGGCTTAATTTTTGGCTTCAATTTTTTCTTAACATACGTAGTATTTTTTGGATAAAACGATACTCAAAGACATATCTTATATGGTAATTTGTTGTAGAGAAATAATGATTTTGCAATTAAATTCCGCTCCTTCGGCTCTCGACGATTAAAAAAAATAATCACAATTGAGATAAGGTGGGCACACGTAGTCGTCTTTTCAGAACAAGAACCTTACAGTTTAAAATGGTAAATTCTAGACAAATATGATGGATCCTGCAGATACGCCCCACCCCTCGATCAGACAACGAATGAAAAATTTATCACAATTGAAAATTGAGATCGGGGCGGGTCTTCTTGTACCACGGGTAGGGCCCAATCTTTGGCTTTATTGTTTTTTTTAATATACACAGTATTCTTTGAACAACACGATTCTCAAAAACATGTTTTTAGTTTCTCGTAGAAAATAAGGATTTTGCAGTTAAACTCCGCGGGTGGGCGGGGTTTTATATTTAGCCTTTTTTTTCTTAATATACGTAGTCATTTTTTCACGACAAAAACTTGAAATGGTAAATTTTTGTAGGGTAATATGGATTTTGCAAACATGTTTTAAGTTTCTTGTTGTGAAAAGATGATTACGTACATTAATTAAAAAAAGCAAAATGTAAGCCCCGCCCACCCACCCCATCTCAATCGTGATGATTTTTCCTATTCGTCGTGAGCCAATAGGGCGGACCTTAATTGCAAAATCCTTATTTTTTTACAAGAAATTCATAGGTGAAACATGTTCTTGAGTGTTGTTTAAAGCGAACTATATGTATTAAGTACAAAAGAAAGTCAAAAATAACCACCTCAATCTGAGTTTAATTTTTACTTAGTTTGATATTAGTATTCTCTGAACAATGCGATACTCAAAGCATGACTTACATGGTGATTTTTTGTAGAAACATAAGGATTTTGCAATTAAGCTCACGACGAATAAAAAAAATCATCACAATTGAGATAGAGCGGGTGGGCGGGTGTAGATTTTGCTTTTTTAATATGTGTAGACTTATTTCGACAATAAGAAACTTAAAACATGTCTAAAATGGTAAATTTTTGTAGTAATCAACTTAAATCCTGCAATTTTTTTCTACAACTCCTTTAAATACCTACGGCAAAAGTTAAACATCAAAGTTACTGGCAACGGAGTTTATAAATGACAATTTTCAGGTCTAAAAGTAACGTGAACATACGATACCTAACGTTACTTTAGAATTTAGATAGGCAACCAATAATACAGTCATAAATATGGTCCATATAAGTTGTTTATATATTTACCAGTGATCATTCATCAATCATCACTGATTTTACCATCATTTTTATTCAGATACGTATTTTAGGGCTTTTTGTTTATGTTATGTTACAAAACTTATAAGTTGTAAACTTATTACTACAAAAACTAAATTTTATTCATCGCTAGATCCGACAATTGTTTAAATTTTTTGCCACCCTACTAATTTTTGCGTGACAGTTTGCCCTATGGTAACGAAATGTCAAGTTGATTTATGTCATTGATACAAAAAAAAATTGTACTATCAGTGTACTATAGCTTAAGTTTTTTTTTAGTAGAAATTAACAAAAATTTATTTCTGCTAGCAGTCCATTTATCCAAAATAACGTTTATTTTTTATTTTGTCGTTAAATAATGGATAACAGCTCGGAGAAAAATAATCGTTTTCTGTCACTGTAGCATCTTCTGCAAAACATAATTCTGTGTTGCACTAATTGTTGCCACCGATTTTGAAACATCGCTAACGAATTTTGTAAATAAACCGCAAAAAATGACGGTTGATAATTTAAATAGAATATTTCGTAATTGTAATGTCTTCATTATCTGGTCTCAGCCAATGGCAGGGAGAGAGAACGTCGCGAAGTTGGCAACACCGTACCGTCGTAAAGTGAGTGCTTTGAATGAAGCAGAACAGAATGGAGTTTGACAAGGTTTCGTAGATAATGTAACGTAACTTATGTTTTAAATAATTAAGTCAATAACACGTGTAAACATAGCGGTGGTTAATTACAGAAGACGAATCCGAGAAGAATAAGTTTTGTAAGTGAAGTGCTACAAATATGTGAATTAAGTCATGAACACTGTGTTCTATTACAACATAACCAAACTTCGGTCTACATTATTATTCCTGTTTAACGAGTGATTCACGGTTACTGCAAATGATTCGTAATTTTACCATGCCCAGTGGAAAGAAAACCCATGGGAAAGGCCAGCAAAAACCGAAGTACAGAGTCTGAAAGGTGAGTTCTGGGGTTATTCAAGAATGGCATGCCCAACTGCATTCCTACTTTCAAAATGTTAAATAATTGAACCTGAAGTACAACTCGTTTAATTGTTATTATCATTTTCGTGGTTGTTTTTTAAGGTGGTTTCTCTTGGTGAATACCTTCATGTTTGTCGGTGTCGGAAAGTACACCCCTCGTCAAAAGTATGGCAGAATTGGCGCCCCTTTTATTTACTTTACGTGCCAAGGAAGTTGTAAATTTCAAATATTGACGTAACTGTCATCCATTTTTTATCCTGTATTATTGTCCTTGTGAACTTTGTACCACGCAAGGAAAGCTCTGTGTCTCCTACATTACATCCACTTGTGAAAAAATCACCCATTAACAAGTTTCACATTTACTAACGCGATTTCAGACTCATTAACAATGTAATAAAATTTAATTAATCGTATGAACCAGACGCACGTCGTTACATTAATTTAATAAACACTCAATAACAAAAATATAAAAATCATCACTCGAATTAAATGAATTAAGTGAAAGGTTTCGCATCCCATAACTCTTAATTTTAGAAAAAACCAACCCATCTAACACATTTTGATTTTTCGCATCCATAAATAACGAGAAAGTTGCACAAATCCCTCCGTTCGATTTGCGGTAGCAGTTGCACAAATAAATTAAAATACGCACATTTATACATCCAAAGTTTCTACTTTTTCTTACTTAAGTTACAGATGCGCAGTTCAGTAGCAAGCTGACACTGCTTAAAAATCAATCGCCTTCCCGGAATTGATAATGCGGTGATAACGCTGCAGAATTTGGCTTACTTAAGCTCCAAATATGTCAGTGCAGGCTTACGGACGACTTTTTGCCGTGACATGTGCAGATGGAAGTGAAAAACTGGATTCAAACATTTATACCGGTGAAATAAGAATTGTCGCATTTTTTCAATGGAAAGAGAAATGCGTTCCGTATCAAACAGATATTGTTACGTCAGATTGTTGAAATAATTAATAACAATATTCCATTAAAGGAGTGATTTAATAATGATGTTTCCAAATTTGGCGCGAAGAAATTGTAGATGGTTAATAAGCCCTTCATCTACATTAATCATCGGAATGGGTATGACTGGGTATTTTTCTGAATCAATTATAGATGATTTGATCTGGTAATGACATACTTCACCTATCTACGACTATAATGTATGCAAAGTTCAAAGCAGGTTGATTTAAACTGCAATTTAGAACTACTCGAACCGTTCGAACTGATGTTGCTAACAGCGAAATGCTTACAATAAGCGGAAAGTTCGTCATCGCTGGAACTTCCGGAGACGTCTTTCTCAAATGGTGGTCAATAAAATAATGAAATTTGCATACGAGTCACCAATGAGAAAAAAAAAATGTTTTTGCCTTCATTGTTGGTACGAAGTAAACGGCTAGACCTAGTAGTAGAAAAAATTGATGAACCGTTTTTTGGTTTTTTAGTACAAATTGCACTATTTTTGTTCCACATAGATATGAGCGTTATCACTAGTGCAAGCGTGCAATATGTTAAACAACACTAACAAACATTTCGTTGGTTAAACAAAAACACTTCAAATTATTTTGATTTTCAGCTACTTTTAGTACCGAGAGAATTAGTTTTTTGCTTGTTAAAATTTTTATTGTGCCGTATTTAACATAAATAAGTTAGTGTGTCCGAAATAAAATTTCTCTGTTGGCGATTTTAGTTAATGGCCGAAACTAACGAACCGATTATTTTGGACAATTAAACAACAATTAACAAATGGTCTATAAAATAAAATAAAAAATGGCTGTTTTTCGGTAATCAGTTGGTTAAACGTGATGTAGTGACAGTGTAATGACTAGAGTTACTATATGTTGTACAAACGAATAAAATTTCAACGAAACGGATACTACGTCAAGGTTATGACCACGTTTTCTATCGATTTTATTTTTTATGGCAGGTGTCGTGTGTTTGCTCCATTTTTATCGTTTAATAGAATTTGCAGAAACCCTGTTTTATTATATCGCACTGTTATTTATTGTGGTTGAAATCAACATCGGCCATAAAATATGTCATTCATTGAAGATGTATTGCAAACTTGGTAAAACACTAACTTGGTGACATAATTTTGTTTAAAAAAAATCTCGATGTTTACGGTAAAAATTCAACGCGGATTCATAAATCACACATGTAGGAAAATGTTTTTAAAATAAATTTAAAGAACTTTTCGACGAGTTGTTATTGTTTTTCAAAAGTCTAGATTTCTAGGGTAAAAAGTGAAATTGAAATAGTATTCATTGTAAAATTGGGGATGACGTTGTCCTTTTGTTGGTGAGGATGATGGACACGTTTGGGTTATCGTAATGGAAAAAACAATAGAAAGACGGACGGAGGAGGCGATAAATATAATTTTGTTATATTTCATGACCCCAAGAGTACAAACAAATAGATCTCCCGTTTCCATCCGTATGTCTGCCTGTCTGTTTGTTTGTCTGTCTGTCTGTCTGCCGTCTGTCCAGATTTTTATTAGGCAGACTATCCCCTAAACCACCGGACCGATTGTTGTCAAATTTTATACGTATGTAACGCATATCTTATAGATGTAGAAATAGGTTTAGCTCTCGTTTTCTCTTTTCGGCCATGTGCTTAATCGTCGAACTCTTTCAGTGTATAAATAAACAGTCGTATGTAAGTATTGATAATGACTTTTTCCCGTTGGTTATAGTCTCTGCATCACAATTAAATAAAGATCCTTGCACAACGAAAGTGTAACTTTATTAAAAACATTTCGTTGCGATGTATAAATCTTGAAATATGTAATGTGACACTAATAACAAAATCGTGAATTCCAGAGTCTTTTTCGGCGTTATCATGCAAGTGCGCAGTATGCTAATTCTCAGCAATAAACCTTTCATTGGTTAAGGGAGCGTTAAACGAGAACGCTACTTCTAGCGCTGAAAGACGTTACTACTAGACTTTGCTTGTTTGTTAAACTTTGTACTTTAGCCTTGTATTTGACCTAAATAAGTTGATAAGAATTGGCCGTGGTAATGTCATAAAAACGTTGTCTCTAACGTTATGTGTTAGGCTTTGGAGGAAATTTTATTTCCATTGGAAGAGGGACAGTTTTCCATTTTCCGTTTCCTTGCTTGAGATGTGTTCGAACTAAATGTTTTTGGCGATTTTAGTTAATCTTCGCAACTAACGAACCTATTACTTGGAAATAGTTACAAAATGAAGGTACTATTACACGTCCAAGATTGTAGCAAACTTTAAAAATTATTAATTTAACTAGTGATCGTTATTTTATTAAATAACCATTCACTATTGACACATGATGTATAAATTAGCAAAAAAAAAACAAGACAAATAAACGCAGAATTAAATGTAATTATGCGTTTATTTGTCTTCTTTTTTATTTAATATTGTTCAGCTGGTGGGGATAAATGTATTAATGTTGCTTAGTACAAAGTACCACTGAGCTTCCTTGTTCTTAGAATTCCAGGAAATTATGTTGAGATAATAAATCGATAAAAATAATTAGAATGCATTGCTTTTCATAGATTCTAGATTATCTTGGTGGCATGATTAAATTAATAATTGTTCCACTGATGTAAATAAATTAAAAGAAAAAGTAATTGTATATCATTTTATGGTTGATTTTAAAGGCGAAAATTGAAAATGTGGGTCATGCATAAATGTAGAACTGACATAACCCATGGTAGTTTGAAGTGAAACAAAATAAGTAAACGGTTTGTTTTTAAAACGAGTTGATTATTAAGTTTTTCGACAAAGGTTATAATAATGTTATCCAAAAATGGAAATTTTCTCACGCGAAAAACATCCAAACAAAGAATCCCGTGGCGTATAATATTCATATTTGCATATTCATAACGACATTTTTTCCCATTAAAAATGTCAACTTACGTAATGAAAAAGCAACAATTGATAAAAAATTGCATACAATGTGTTTTAGTTTATCGCTAGGAAAATTTCATCCCGCCTCGGGTGCTCTTAGCCGTACCTAAAAATTTAAATTACTGGTCAGTAGTTACTCGTTATGATCGGCTAATGAGTCGTACTAAAAAAGTTAAAGTATTAAATGCGTCGGTATTTTTTTAAATCAATGATCGCTGAGCTGGGAGCAAATTTCGGAGAGCAATTTTTCCTAATAATTATGATGTTGCATTTGAGTGAAATGGCATGTTGAAAAAGTAGTTAGTTACGGTTGTTTTAGTGGAGATAATCTGGATCACTTTTACAATACGGAACGAATTAATATTAGTGTCATCTTCACTTTTATCGGGTCCGGTGAAATTTTTCGAAAAAAAATCCGTTTCGGTGGAACCACAATCAGTTTTATTAAAATGCAGGAAATTAAGCAAAATGAGGTTAAATGCTAGTTTTTGTTGTTGGCGAATCTTCATTAAACAACAGTAAATTATTTTTATCTAAATTTAGGTTCTGCTGATTATCGTGTATAGATAAGGCCACGGCAAATATTTTGATTGGCGTGGTTAATTAACATTTTTCTCACAGAAAAAGAGTGAAAACGAAATTTTGTTTTTTGTTTTAGAGTTGAAATGAATTTCTCTGCAGCCGAATTTAAACACCACCTTAGTCTCACCGGGACCAAAGGTATTCATTTTCAGCCACATTCTAGTTCAGCGGGAAGAATAAAAGAGCTTATTTATAGTGGATGATATATATAGTGCTTAATTATCTCCACAAATCCACCGGATTTAACGGATTACTGTATCAGCTAGACGTGATCCTCTCGATTTGAAAACCAGAATGGAATATTTTTTTTAATTAAGTAACCAATAATTCTGTAAACGTTTTAAAATGTTATTGCGCTTGATGTTTGTAAGCCGTTCTTTTTGTGGTATTTTTTTTGTTTTCGGTGTATGAATTGTGTTGTCTACTGCTTACTCAAGCATGGCGCTAAATTGTAATTTAACTTTTTTGCATAACCGGTGTTGGTTATTGAAGAACCGGAATGTTTTTAC